ATATTACACATTGCATTACTATGCAGTGCATGTGCCAACAAAGCTGCGGCATGTCGGCAGGCATGGAAGTATTACTCACTAGAATCGGAAGTAACGTGTTGTGAGACGAACTACACTTGTATTGTGGATGGAACAAATTTACCATATACAATTCGCTATGGACTGTCCTTATGGGCTTCCGTAGTTGCGGCTCTAATTAGTATTATCTGTGGTAGTAAGCTCGTATGGAGCGCATGCATCGCGCGGAGGGTTCAAATAGTCAACTAAACGTTGTGTATCTCAATGCATGTGCATTGACAGGGTCACCCACAGCATGTATACCACTACATTAAAAAATAAACGATCAGACCTCCTTCTGTAGAAGTTCATAGGTTGGACACCCAGTGGCAATGTAAATTTCCATTCTAAAAGAGACATCCATTTCACCGAACGCATGTCTTCTAAGGGACTACACTTCCACTCTGCAAAGTTGTCACATGTGCTACCGTTAGGGTATTTTCGTAATGCGCTGCATGAATTACCTCAGTGTCAACCAACCTAGAGGTTCGGAGACAGTGAGCAGGAAGTGGCCGTCGTTCATTGTAGAAAGGAAATATCCACAACGAATGGCCCCTACGGCCTTTCGTAGGTTCACCAAGTAGCTACCTTCCAACGCCACGAAACATCTGTATGAAAATAGCTCTCAATGCACTAAAAGCCACCCGGTCATGTCCGTCAGAACCTGTTCTAATACTGTTAGGCCAGGAGGTGGATTTGAAGTTTGCAGAGAGAAAAGAAGCAACCAGGAGCCCAGTTTGGGAACGAAGCCTTCCTGAATGCCGGCCTGGCGCTATTATCTAGCTAAGCCCACTTGGTGGCAGGTGTTTTGTTTCTAGGCCTCAACTCTTTCTAACAGGGTTCCTGGGTGTTTCCTTTGCGAACTGGCTGTAATAAGGACAACATCTTGAATGAACAACGACTGGGTGGATAGTAACAAGACCTGGGAAGACAATTGACTTGACCCAGGCTGGACGAGAAGATGATGAACCTAGCGTCTCTCTTAACATGTATACTGGTCGTAGTATGCCCATGACAGTATTGAGAGATGCATGCACACATGCAAGAGGCTAGGTCAGACCTAGTGCACTCATTGAACAGCTGTCATAGTATATCGGGATATATGCAGGCTGCTTTTGTTTAGCTAACTACAAAGAACGTTGCACTTTTGGTCTACTGCCAACTGGTGACCTTTGAGGTTGCCTACACAGACATCAACATAATAGTAGCTACACCTAACAGGAGTTGCTGTTTGAAGTTGCGATGCCGAATGAGTAGCTAACTAGAATCTTTCATGCAGCCTTGCAGATTGAGAAGGAACATATTACACCACTGTTATAAGTCCCTACCTTATAGTGGACTACAAAGAGAGGCTCAAGGACTGTTCAGTGTCATCTTTGAGCTGCTCTTGTAAAAGGCCGCTATATTGTGCAGTTTAGTTGCTGCAACTATGTGCACTCTTTGTCATTGCCTGTTGCCTTTACTTCGTCGGACCCAAAAACAGACAGAAGGTCACTAGAAGACACTATTATCGAAAAGTTTAGTGATGTAATCGTTGAAGCACGGAGTTCGCGTGGTCCTGGTCTGTCGCTCTTGTTGGTGTAATAGCTCTGACGTAGCTGTTGGAGTGATTTTGCAGCAGAGAGTTGGCACAGAGTGGCCATCTCTTACTAGCTAAGACCAGCTGAATTCCATTACAGCAGGTTTGAGGAAGAGCTCTTATCTCTCAAATTTGCCACTGCACGGTCTAAGGACGCGAGTTCTGTGTGTTCGCTGACCACAAACCCCTCATGTGTGCCCTGACTTCACTCTCGATGCAACGCTCCTCAACAATCCTACAACTCGATTTTACTCGACAGGTGCAGACAGCCCCATTGCTGACCTTCTGTCTTTCATAGAAGTCAACGCTCTCCAGGAGTGCCACTGTGGAATTTAAATGGTGAAAGCACAACTCAAAGACCTTGACCTCAATTCAGTCAAGTCTTCGTCAAATTTTATTAACTTGTTTCTATTAAAGCTGTCCCATTCATATCGTTTCTAGCAGAGGCTGAGATGGAGAGTTACTTATAAATCCATCTACACCTATGTATGGTTACAAGTGGAAAAATCATTTCTTCAAAATGAAGGGGGATGTAGGGATGGTGTAAATTATGAAAAAGGATGCCAACAAGAAGATGCTTCAGCCGACAACAAAAATCATACATCCATCCCTACATCTTTCTTTCTTTTGCTCTGTCTAAGAATGTGTAGCTAGGCACTCGTTATTGGGAGTATAATATAGGTATAATTATTACAAAACACAGTTGAGGTTGTGAGTTAAAGAAAGATGTAGGGATGGATGTATGATTTTTGTTGTCGGCTGAAGCATCTTCTTGTTGGCATCCTTTTTCATAATTTACACCATCCCTACATCCCCCTTCATTTTGAAGAAATGATTTTTCCACTTGTTCCACTTATTTTTAGCCTACACTGAGCCCCACCCTTTAAGCGGTGCAGAGCTGCGAGCGAGGAGCAGCAGGGTTCACACCCGTGTGTGTGTGTGGAGATTTATGCACTGCAGATTTGTGTGATTTGAAGATTTGATCTCACACACACTCGCAGTGCATTATGGGGGCAGGGGCGATGTCCGTAACGTTGTTTGCAATTTTGCACGATTCTTGCATGAGAGACTAGTGGGCGCATGCGCAAGTACAAAACTAACCAAACATTCATTGTACAATATGCTTTGTTGTGAATTGTGAAGGAAAGTTTTTTTTCTTTAGGAGAGGTCTATACATATCTAGCTGAAGTGAAAGGTATAGAGGTCAAATCAGGGGTATATAGCTAGTAGCAAGCAGGCAGTAGGAGCCAGAAGTTTGCAGGGTTAAGGGTCTAGCTTGAGAGTGCAGTTGCAGTCCAACCCCTATATAGACAGAATATAATATAGATAGTATGCACCGTCAAGTGAAACACAAAGCATAATGGACAGACAATGTATGAGTAGGCTTACAATAGGAATTTGTAGTGCAATAAAGGCTAGGTCAGAAGTGGTATATATAAGGGTGCAGGAATGTATATACAAGTCAGCAGTGGTGATAAGGGTAGGAAAACACTTCAGAGCCCCACCTGCCCAGCAACTCCCAGATAATCTTATAAGTATAGGTGAACACCTGGTTCTGAAGCGATATCCCTAAGCTGTTTACTCTAGCACCCTAGGGGGGGTAGAGTAAACAGCTGAGGGGATATCCAGTACCACCAAGGCGTTAACCAATTTGTAGCCTAGCAACCGTACTAATTGCCTAGCAAGCATATCATTTTACCGGGTTGTGAGAGAAATCGGTGGGCGAGACGAGGGAAAGGAGGCCGAGAGCAAGCTTGCGTGAGCCCATGCTGCCTGTTGACCATTTGTTCGAGCGATTACTACTTTAGCTAGCGGTGTAGCATGCAGTTGTAGCGGGCTGCTGTAGCGCGGACCAAGCAGAGAAGACAAGACGCCGTGCAGACCTGGAATGACGTTCTTTGGAGTCTCCTTCGTATACGTACGCTACAGCTCAGCTATGGTGCAGCTAAGCTGACATTTTTGAACAGCGTGTTCAAAACAACACAAGTGACACACGGCACACAGCCTCTCGCTCCAGCTCTGCCTTTTTCTGGCTTGCGTGCGCATCTTCTCGCTTACCAGCTCGCCACTTTTCCTTTGCGTGCCAGCTTGGGATGTAGCCACAGCCATCTACAGCTTACCCAGAAAGGTCACTGGGCATTGTTTGCTCATTAGATCGTTGTGTAAACTGTGGCTACCCACTCATATTGACTCAATTAAAGGCAACCACACATCCTTGGGATATGTGTATTGATGTGCTGGCTGCTTGGGTACTGGGAATACTACTAGCGTGGTGCCCTTGAAAATCAGCAAAACTAGGCTACAATGGCTGGTTATCCTTCCCACTGTCTGCATTACCTCTATAGTGCAGCCATATCAGCAATATTTTTCTTAAATGGGCTCACAGCTGCCTTTCCTTACCAGGGTCAGCATGATAGGTGGCCCTAGCCACTGCCTTTACCTTACCAGGGTCAGACCGACAAAGGGATCTACCTCTAGCCTTTATATTCTCAGAATTATGCACATAATATCTACTGCCCTCCTTCTTTTCGAGCGATAACGCAAAAACTTGAACTTATCTCAAAGGATGGAGAAGCAGTGGTGACAGCAGAGCAGTGGTAGAGCGCAGTGGAGGGCCTTGCGACTGAAAGAACAGGGTGGGGTTCTTGTTATCAGCCACGACTGTCAGCAGAGAAGTGCTGGCTAGAGGCCGAGGGGGTGCAGAAGGTTGAACTGGAAGGAGAGTCGTCAGGCACCCCTATTAAAATATGCAATGAGAGAATGCAGACAACTTGCAGGGTTTACCTTGAAACATAATTAACTGGGGCCCAAACTCCAGAAAACCAAGCTGCAGTAGAGTACAGACATTGGAGTAAATTATACGTGATGATAATTGCAATAGCAAGACTTACTTTTGACCGTGGCGACTCCAGTACAATAGTCAGCAGTGCGGACAAGACAGACACGGAGTGTCACGTGAAGGTGAAAACGTCAGGTTGTGGCCGTCCCGTGGAACCTCGAAAGAAAATTGGCAATGAGCTGGATTGCAGCTAGCTAAAGTACACACAACAGTAGCTCCTTACCAAAAGACGGATAGCTTGAAAACCGAGGCGAGTGAAAAACCAGCGGCCGCACGACGGGGACCACGTGGTCCGCTCTAACACCGCGCCCCTGTCTGGCGCATGCGCACGGCTCACTGATGCTGAGTTAGCAGCAAATGGCGTTGTTCAGTGTTGACCATGGAAGAGCTCCATGATCTACTGTAGTGACTTGCGGCAAGAAAGAAATGATCGCTTGATGTCCGTGCACACCTCGGACGAGATTGGAGACGTTCAGTGAAAAAGTCAGCGCTTCAACTGGTACTGGTAAGGAGATAGCGGGTTTAAGACGAAACATTGCCAATCCAGATAAATATTAACGTTGTTGTAACAAACTCAAGTAATAGATAAAGATAAATAGCATATCCTGACCAGGGACTTGAACAATTAGCGCATTTCAGACCAAAAGCACCAGCACCGTAGCCTTCCTTACACTCCCCACACAGAAAACCTCTTCTGTTGTAAGGACCACACATCACCTGATCCAACTGGCTAGCATTGCTGGGCATCTCTGAATACCGTCGGTTGGTATTGTTTATAATGTGCCTGAATGGACAAAACCCAATATAGTAGTCATCTTGTCTCTCTGAGGAAGTTGCACAGTGACTGTTGCCAATCTCCACCTGGTTGCCATCACTGCTGCAGTGTAGCCAGAATCCACACTCACACTTTCCTGTGGCATTGTTGTAGTAGTGCCAGGTGTGGCAACTGGTGGCCAACTGGATATTTGCTGCAAGAGTACAGATAAAGAAGCACCAAGTTCCCCAAGCCATTGGTCTTGTGGCACTCTCTACATGTCCTGTTGAGACTCTACTGACACCTGCTTGCTGCAAGATGATAGCTGAGGTTTTTATAATTTCAGAAGCATTTCCCCAAAGTGTACTCTCTTTGCTAGTGATAACTGTTGGGACTGAAATACTCAGTGGCTGTGATTGGGTGATACAGAATTGTCCTTTATAAACATGAGTTTGATTGGCAATGTTTTCTAAGGCATAATATAGCTTGTTCATGCAATTTCTCTTCCACAAATGCCTACAGTGTGAAGTGCGATTGGCCTTTGTTATGTGAAATAATTAGATGTAACCCCATAATACGTATTTTATTCACAACCTAAGCTGTGCACTGCTTGGGGTTGCTACTGCTTAATGTCGCCACATCATACGTATTTAAAGACCCAGACCAATAAAATGCGGCCAGACATCTAGTGCCATCTTTTTATATCATACTAAGAACATTCATTTTTGTAAAAGTATCATCAGTCATGCACGTCAAAGAAGACGCTGTGTGCGTAGATACACAGACATTTGTTATGTGACCACAGCCACATGCTGGTCACACCACCTTCAGACTATTTCCTACTGCACTGCAGGTTTTACTTGTTTACCATTTCTATGTCCATGGCGAGACCTACTGACACGTATTGACTGCACCATCAAGACATGCTAAAGTGCCCCTTTTAGTTAAGAAAACTTAGATAGGACTTGAAATCATACAGCAGTTGTCTTTGGGCTTTGGGAGATATATAGCATTGATGGAGCTGCAGGCTGTTGGACAAACAAGAAGCAGACTGACATGATGATTATCTGCATGTTACCTTTATGCAGATTTTTATTACTTGTTTACCATTTCTATGTCAATAGTGAGACCTACTAACACGTATTGACTGCACCGTCAAGACAAGCTAAAGTGCCCCTTTTAGTTAAGAAAACTTAGAGATAGGACTTGAAATCATACAGCAGTTGTCTTTGGGCTTTGGGAGATATAAAGCATCGATGGAGATGCAGACTGTGGGATAAACAAGAAGCAGACTGACATGATGCTAATCTGCGTGTTAGCACTGTGTTGCTGCTGTCGTTAACTGAGAGCCAAAGCTTTGGTCTCTCTCTATACAGTTGTGACCAAATCTCTGTGAACACTTACAACTCTTTGAGACTTAGCAAGATACATTCTTGAATGAGGCAGCAGGCATAGCTTGCACTGTTTTGTGTTTCAGGCTCAACTGTGTGTTCCTTCAACATACGCTCACAGCATACCAGAAATGTAAAAGTCCTACATTTAGACCATTAGGTAGGCCTGCTTTGCTTGCCAATAAAATCTGTAAAATAACCACACAACAGAGAGAAGTAGATGAATGGAGGAATGGTAATAATGAAGTGGTCAGGGAAACCTCAGTAAAACCTGCCTTTGGGCTTCGAGATGTAGCTACCTTTGTTACGCTCCTTCTGTCAACCTGACACCTAGTTAGACCTGCATGTTGAAAACCGCTGCAGATGGTCTTTAAACACACGGTGATGGCTTGATAGAATGCCTCACATCGACCTTTTTCTTGCGCATAAAAACAGCTCTAATGTTCTGTTTGCAGTTAATGACAACGTTGCATGAAGGTGGTAGAAAGCATTATAATCTCATGTGGATGTTTACAGCCCTGGCTGTGTGTAACTCTACAGTAGGAATAGCAGGTCAGTGTTTGTGTGTCGCAGTGTGGCCAATGTGTGTTGCTCTGGTGTCATGTGGAGGAGATGACGTGAGATGGTGGTTGCTCTTGGACCTCTTCCAGGACGGCTCGGAACGATTCAATACTCACCTATAACAGATTTAAATACATACTGTAAGTCAGTGAAGTGTGCGAAGCTTGGTATATTTAACTGCAGCATGTATTCACAGAAAGGTGTCACACCATGGACAATTGGTGGAGTTAGTCAGTTAGTCAGTTTGTCACTTCTTATGGATTAGATTTTTCGGGCATAAAAACTATTTATGTGTGTCCATACAGCTTAGTTTCCTATAATGTCCATTCTGCATGTCTGTTCTGTGTGTATGTATATACACTTGGTACGGAAGAGCACAGGGTAATAGGTGTAGGGCATACCTCTCCCCGTGGGTCCCTTCTCTCAGCCTCTTGCCACACTTCCTGGAACACCTGGTCAGGCATCTCCACCCCCACCCTCTGGAACACCTCCCTCACCTCCTGTGGCCCTCGGCTCCTGAAGAAGTCTCTCTCAAACACTCCTCTGCAGGGGTAGACGTGTACAGTGGGGAACAGGAGAGCTCTGTAACTCTCTACAGTAGAGTCTATGGTAGTATGACATACAAAAAGCCCGAGTGTTATATTTTCTCGTGCTTTATTGTGTTACAGATACCAGGACAAGGTGGTAGAGGTATCAGTAGAGCCAGGGGTACAGGTATGATATATATATTTGGAAGCAGTAGATCTCTGTAACTCAATTTTAGCGATGGTAGTAGAACACAAAATGTGTGGGCATATGAGACAACCAGTGTTGTATTTTCTTGTGCTTTATTGCACTCTAGACGCCAGGATAAGGTGGTGCAGGTATACCTCGTGGGGAAATTAGACTTTTAGCTATGGTCGCAGGACACAGTATGAAAGAACCAGAGTGTCATATTTCTTGTGCTACTTCTGCTACGAAGGCAGCATAACTTTAAAGCGTGTGTTTACAGGGTGACTTTGGCCTGACCAACTGCATGTAATTTGTTGGATATCCCTAGCGACCGGCAGGTATGAAGCTACATAGGTCTTTATCAGCCTATAGCTACAATCCTGTGCATGTGTTCAGTGTTCATCTGTGTCGGTTGCCTATATAGGGATTATTTGTTGGGCACTGTAACAATACTATATGAACATTTACCTGCTGGAGTAGATGGAAGGATACATAAGGCCATATGCATCACTCTCATCGCCATAGTTCTGAAAAAGTATTCAGTATCAACCTGCAATAGCCACACACAGGAACACACACGCACCTTGCTGTCTCCCACTCTCTTGATGCGGGGTGCAGGCAGATCGCTGCGTATGGTGGGAACCCCAAAAGTGTGGTGGGTGTGGTCAGGAGGAGCCCCGCCTACCACCTGGACCACCTCCGATGAGGACCTGTACTCTGAGAGAGTGGCTGGGGATGTCGTCTCCGGGACACCAGCACCCGCTGTTGGTGGGAATTGTACAGTGGTCTTCTTATTTGTACAGGTGCTCTCACCATACCATACTATTTAAAACTGGACTCCTGTTTGCTCAGTGGTATAGAGAGTGCAGACCTATTGACTGGGTTTTAAGATCATTTCATTACCCAGCATGCACGAGCAAAGCACCAGGGTTTATGTGATCAGTTTGCGATATCTGTTGGCCCAAAAATTGCCGGATCTGGAGATTTACCCACGTAAATGAGCTAGGAGCATCAAATTGACAAAAACAGCTCGAGGTTGACGCAAATCGGGCTACACACAAATACATGTACTTGGGTTTTTGGTCAGGCCTATCAATAACTGCTCTTGCACACAAGTGAGTCTGACACATAGTCCAAATTGTGGTGTGTGTGTGCAGGTTCTGAATAATCAACACAGACGTGCCATAATAATATTTGCCTGTGCGTAAGTTGGCATCCCTAAGTAAAGACAGAGTACTTTACTGTGCTTTTTATAATCATTTCCATGGATAGTTCATGTTTTTCTAACAACTAAATAGTCGATGAACTTGCTGCTATGCTACACTACTGTCACAGTATTTTAATGAAGGCAAAAATGTACTTGTGATCCTAATCACTCAGCTATTGCATCTGAATCCTTTGTCGCGACAGTGTTCTCACGAGTGCTGCGTTCTTTGAGTTCAAACCCCATTTCACTGCTGGTCAAGACGTATGACGAGGTGTTGTGCTCGGCTGATCGGGAGAAAAGATCTTCATCGGTACAGGTACCCCCTCGTTTCGTCGCTAATGAGCTCAGATGTGTAGGGAGGCTCTGTTCCTCCTGGGTCCTCTGCCAGCGAAGCTCCTCAGGTAATACCTTAAACTTTCTCAGGAGCCAGATGACTGCGAAAAAAACCACAACGACGAGGGGTGCGTACATCAGCAAGAGCTTAATTGCAATCTCTGCTTCCAGGTAGGCTAGGCCCTCGTCTCCCCAGGAGGCGATGGAGATGTGCCAGGAGAGAAGGTTTATGAGAGCCATGTTTGCCAGCATTGCACTGTCAATCACGTTGTAGAGACGTCGTTTGTAAGGCCTGGCCAGGACATGGACGGTGAAGATCACGACTAGAGCAACCTCTGTGAGAAAGAAGAAAGAAGTGTGACTGGGTGAACAGGCAAAGATGGTGGCTAGGACAATCCTCCACAGGAACAAGAGGCCAGCAAACATGCGGCGGTTGTCCTTGAAGACTCCCTGAAAGGAATCGATGAGTGGAAGTAGTTTACGAATGGGCCAGGGTGTAATATCGTCGCCATTTTTGCCAAGGCTCTGTCTCAGTTTGGCTCTGATGTTCCAGAGGAGAGGGTAGGAGATGAGGAGGAGAGGTGGGGGCAGGGAGAGGAAGGCTAGGACCGCGAGTGCAGGGATGGCATGCGGGAGATGCTCAACTCCGAAACGCTCCAAATTGCCTTGCAAACGAACAACTGTGCCAATCTGTTGCTTGCCTTCTCCATAGACCCGGAGATGACCGAGAATCTGCAATGATACGACTGTGTATTTTGTGTAGGAAAGAATGAGAACTGTTGATATACTGTGAACGATGGGTTTTTTGTGAAACCTCAGTCGTTCTTCAACCTTTTTAAACTTTCTGCAGAGTTTAACGGGGAAAGATGGGTTCTTCTTTAGCACGAAAATGAAGACGGCGAGAAAAAGCATTGCAAATGTAATAGTCACATAGTGAAAGGCAAGGTTGTCAAGTGTAGTAGCTCCGCTCCAGAGACAAAACGAAATTTCATCCAGTCTGAAAAAATCCAAGTTCAGAAATCCGAGGAGAAATGTGTGGATCCGTACAAGAGTGTCGCCGGCTCGAGACGATGGTGTCAGTACAGGAGTGAGGTTTATGAAAGAGACTGTCTGTTTGAAAAGCAACAGACTCTGCATGAGTCCAGAAGTAATCTTAAACTTTGTTATCATTACGACTGCAAATAGCAGCAGCAATGGAACTAGTTCAGAGAGGGCATAAAATAGCAACCCGAGAGCCCCGTACGGACAGCGACCGCAGTCAAAGTGTTCTGAGTGAAAGTAGACCGAGTAGCCATCTTCACATTCACCGCATGCCCTTCCTCTCCTGTGCTCAATACACTGCAGCCGTGACTCTTCCAGCGAGTCGCAGGATCTGGGTACCTCTCTTCCATGGTGCGAGGACATGTCGTGATAGTTGCAGTAGTGCGGAGGACAGTAGCTTGTCATCACTACACCAGATGTGGTGCACCCAAGCCAGTAGCCAGTCTGAAGATAGGCTTTGAAACTCGACATGTCACACTCCTCTACCCCAACTATGGCCCTGTCGTGGGTGCTTGCAGAACAGACACACTCGTCTCCCATCAAAGACAACCCCAGTGGACAGTTACCTAGTCTACCTGTGCCTGTGGCAGACACAGATCTCTCGTTTAGTGTCCGGAGCGTGAGGTTGAACTCTGTGCCAGGCCTTCCCCAGATCTGAAGAGACCCATTCTCAGAGATGTAGGGGTTTGTCTGCACCTGTCCCTCTCCATTGACTGCAATGGTAACCTTGTAGGCGGAGAGAATGGGCTGTTTGAGTTCGTCCAGAGACACCAACTTCAGATCAATCCTCTCTCCTGGTGCAATCTCAGAGGGTAGGGTGAATTTAACGACATCTGGACTGGTTGTTATGGTGTGCTCTTTGAAATCGGGAGGAAAGTGCAAACCATTCCATTGAAAGGATGAAGTGGCATTTGATCCAATTCCACGTATTTGTTTCTGGCACGGGTGGAGTGAAGTAGTGAATATGCTATGCCCATACTTAGCTGTGTTGTTTGTGAAGCTCACTAGTGGTGCTTGCTCGTCGTTGTAGTTCCCAAAACGGTGAGATATGAAGCAGTCTGGAGGGTAGATAATCGAGGTTAAGTAAGGCAAGGGAGTGTACACGGCTCCACCAAGTTCACTGGCACGGTTTGATTCAAACAACACCTGGGATCCGGGGTACAGGTAAATGACAGAGTAACCTAAGAGAGTCATCCCTCCACCGTATGCTGCAGTGTTACTCACAAAATCGGCCACAGTTTTCTGCAAGATATGGACAACTGTTGCTGTAGCAGTAATGGGACTGGCCCTATTGTGTTGAAATAAAGTATGTCCTGAGATGTGTAACTCAAACAGTCTAATGTCAATGACACCTGAAAATGACCATGGCTCTAAGAAAGAGTCAGTCGAACTCTTTGCAACTAATTTGTTTCTTGAGAAAGAACACGTGTGGATAACAGCTATGGGAAACACTCTATCAAACTCGGAGCCTCTGGAGGAAGTAAGGAAAATGGCTGCACCGATTACTGCAAAGTTCCCTGTCCATGTACAATTGGTCAACTCAAGCTTTCTGCTTGTGTCTGTGTTGGATATAGGGGAAAAGAAGGCCATGCCACCTCCCTGGAAGGCAGAATTGTGAACAAAATGACTGTTGAGGACACTGATAGCATTGCGAGTCATTTCTTTCCCCGTGTTGCCCCCCATTTGGAGTGCACCACCTCCCCCTCCATTGGCACGGTTGCCAGTGAAATTGCATCTTTGAATAGATATCATACTCTTGTGCACTGTGCCAAGAAAGACAGCATATATTCCTCCTCCATACTGGGCAGAATTGTTGTAGAACGTACAGTTTTTGATGACGACAGAAGCATTGGTGATGGAGTTGGTAATAACAAAGTAAATTCCACCACCTCGACCGGTGTTTGTTTGCGGCAAGACTCTAAACTGTTCATTGTTGGTGGCTCTGTTGCTTTTAAACAAACAATTCTGTATTAAGTATTTACTACTCTCCTTGTTAGTGTCACGGTCACAGTAACGTGTTTCCGTGAGGCAAGAAGGGAACTGAATGTACAATCCACCACCGTCAGACTCTCCAACTGTTTCACTTGCAGCAGCAGGGAGAGCGTTATCAACGAAATTGCTGTAACTCACTTCCACATGACCGTCTACATTGTGCATTGACAGCCCTCGGCCAACACTGCCGTGGAAACTAGCGTAACAGAACTGGACATTTGAACTGTTAAAGACATGCACAGCCGAGCGGTGTTTGATACTGGCTGAATCTGTGCCGTACTGCAGTGTTCCACAGCCATCAAATGTGATATTGAGCACTTTGAGACTCGAGACCGATTCAAAAACAATCCCAGATCTCTCGTCTTCTTTGTGTGAGCAGTATACAGTATTTCCACCACCTTTCATAGTGAGACGGTCAACGCCGCTGACAGTAAGAGTGTGATGAATCTGGTGGTGTCCCTCTACAGTGATTTCACTGCAGTCGAGGAAGGAAGAGTCGGAGAGGGCATAGCCAAGGGTTTCACATGGAGTGTAAGAGGACGTATTTCCGGTGAGGCATTCAGGAGAATCATTTCCAGACTGAGAGTTGACAGTGATATGGTTTAGCTGGCAACCAAAGGCCTCAGCTGACGCTTTGCTACCAGTCCCGATTAGAGTCACTAGCACACAAGCAAAGGCCAATGCTGCAACCATCACCAAAGGCTCTGTAACATATGTACACCGCACTGTGGTCTGATTGTGTCCAGGTTTAGCTGCTTAAATAGAGCCTAACAGGTGTTGGTTTAAAGGGAATGTGGCAGTATTAGTGGTAACCTAATTGCATTCTTCCACTGGGCCACTTTTACTGTATCTTCAGTAAAAGCCTTATTTGCTTTAGGTTTTCGTAGAAGAAAGCTCACAGAAGCAATTTACACAAGTAAATAAAAAACCCTGCCCATCCCTACAATTATACTAAGTACCATACTTAGTGATACATATACTTGTGATTGCGCCTCAATTCTTTCAGCCTGATTCCAGAAAATGCACTGAAGTGCAAACACTTGGCACAGAAGTTAATCACTGCATCGATTAACTTTTGAATAGCTATGTATGTGTATTTTACTCATGCTTGGAAATTGCCAAGAAATGATGACAGCTACAGACATACAGTAGGAAGTGGCATACAAAAACGTGGCCAGCAAGAATTGAACTCATAGCATCTGTAGCTATGGCACTATGCATTTGTAGTTAGACCACTACGTACATAGGTCAAAGGAGTGGAGTGGGACCGTTTCTCTAATACACAGGCTCATGCGCGTAGTATCACGAAAACGAATGCATGTCAGTCGTGAAAAGAAACAAAAAATCATGGAAAACTGTGAAAACTGTCTCTACCTTCTAACAAGTTTATCTAGCACCAAAGTTTACTGAGTTTGTGATTGTAAAATACACAAGCTTAAGCTTATTCTACCTCACCTCCACTAGAAGTGGTGCGTGCACTGGACCCTCCAGCCAGTAACATAACTAATCCTGCTTATTCTACCTCACCTCCACTAGAAGTGGTGCGTGCACTGCACCTTCCAGGCAATAACATAACTGTATAATCCTGTTAAGCTTATTCTACCTCACCTCCACTAGAAGTGGTGCGTGCACTGGACCCTCCAGCCAGTAACTATAACTAATCCTGTTAAGCTTATTCTACCTCACCTCCACTAGAAGTGGTGCGTGCACTGCACCTTCCAGGCAATAACATAACTGTATAATCCTGTTAAGCTTATTCTACCTCACCTCACTAGAGTGTGCGTGCACTGCACCTCCAGCATAACAAACTGTATAATCCTGTTAAGCTTATTCTACCTCACCTCCACTAGAAGTGCTGCGTGCACTGCACCCTCCAGCCAGTAACTTAACTAATCCTGTTAAGCTTATTCTACCTCACCTCCACTAGAAGTGGTGCGTGCACTGGACCCTCCAGCCAGTAACATAACTAATCAGCTGCCTCAAACAAACACACATTACCCACAGTTGCTGCAATCTCACTCTAAATGGAGACTAAACAGCCAATGTAATTTTTGCCCAGATATTACTACTGGCATGTACCGTCTAGCCTTCATCTTTGCCTCTCCCCAATGTTATGTACATGTGACAACACCAACGTGGGGTAGAAAGGCAAAGGCAAAGCAAACCAGTCAATTACACCCAGTACAAAAGGAAAAAAGAGGAGCTGCCATGTACGTCTATGGACAAATGTTTTTCAAAGGAAAAAAGAGCACCCCTACATATGGTGTGATTTGAACAAAGGGCACTTTGCCCTACTCTAAGCGAGTTGCCACTGAGCAGTATGTACCAGGGCAAACTATATAGCTAGTAGTGACACAACATAAAGGCAAACCTCAAACCAATGTGCTATGGCACAGAACCCCATAAGTAAGGACACTCCGAATAAAGGACAAAGAAACAGGACGCAGTTTTAGGTCTCAAACGTTCACGTTTTCTATGATTCTATTATACATATTTAACCTCCGAAGAGAGAAAACCTTTCCTCTGCCTGGTCCCAAAGTGTCCACTATTTGGATGTTCCACTGTAATGCTAGCCCGTGGTCTGGCTGATAATAGATCACATTGAAGGCATGTCACCTGGTGTGTTCCCCTGTTGAACTCTGGTCTCCAGCTCAGTTGGTATCTCGTGCTGCCAGTTGATCAACTCCACCAGGTCTCTGTACCTCACTCCTTCCTCTAGTGTGGCCCCCTCTCCCTCCTCACTCCTGCACCACCTCACCAACAGAGACAGCTGGTCGGCCGTCAGTGGGAGGTTGTACTGGAAACACGTCTCACACACTTTCTCTGCACTCAATTGACCAGTAGAATTCTGCAGGATAGTGGCAGTAGTTCATGTTAGTATGTAGTTACCAGTATATCAAACTGCCCAGAAAAACGGGTCTTGACCATAGATTATAATAGCCTCAAATACTATATGCTTTTACTAACCAACCTGGTGTATTCATGCTTTTGAAACACCTAAATCTTAAAGATTCTTAAAGGGGGGGGAAATCTCTACCACAGGGTTTGGTGTCAAAACTGAATGGTTCCTTGCCTTGTCGGTGAAGGAGAGGGCACGGAGGAGCTGAGGGAAGTTGGTAAAGTGGCTGTTCTTGAGTCGGTGTCTGATTGTGGTCATGATCCCAGGGTCGTACCCCTGGCATTGGCTGTACACCGTGTCTCCCTGTATGTGCATCAATTCACCTGCACCTGTGTGTGTGTGAGTTACACACCATTCAAAACGACAACAGAAAAGTGATGTGGTGTCTAAGCACTGCTGAAACTGACTGAAATTGTCTGGAAGGACACTGACTCCAAAACTGTGGTCCTTGTCAACTTTGAGAGTGTCTGCAATCCTGTAAATAAGGCATACAGTACTATTCTGGCAAACACTATTAGTGTTATTGGGGGACGAATGCATGTAGGTTAGTAAAATAAAGCGAGGAATAAAAAATACAATGGGCACTGTAAAAAGAAAACTTCATGAGCCCATAAGCACTTGCACATATTTCTTCATCGGAACACCCTGCATCTCTCACTCCAAGACTTAGTGTAGTGCACCAGAGTGTGTCCAATGTGTCACTCACGGGTCATGGACTTGACCAAGTTGAGGCTGAGTCCTCTCTCTGAAATCATCCACTCTTTTCGTCACTATCGGAGTCTTCTTAGAGCTGTGTACAACAAACAGTGAAAAACCCCTGAAAAAAGACTCTAAAAATAGGAGAACCTTTCCATAAAAGACACAAGCCCATACTACTCACTTCCAAATGAAAAGCACTGAAGTGCAAACCTTTGGCGCACTGCGCATCCGCGGTACCACTAATTGATGGGCTGGGCCAAGAGTATGTGTTTTTAGTAGCCTGCGAAGAGTCTGACAAGGGCTAGCTACAGTAGCAGATATGTAGCATGCAGGAGTCGATACACACCCTTAGTTGTGACTTCTTGTGCCTCCCAGGTACACAGAGCGAGCGGATCAGGTCAATGTGTAAGCCAGCCTTTTTGCTTGTTTTCACGGCATATCTCTCCAACGCAGTTGTTTAGGAAAATTGCTTGTTCAGTTTTCAGGCTCGCGTTGTTCTGAAGCTGCTGGTATTGCTAAAGGCCGTAGCCTGTAGTGCCAGAATAAGCGTTGACACACAGACAGACAGACAGACAGACAGACAGACATACTGTAACCCTTGCTGCGCATGCGCGCCGAGGGTTAATATGTAACAGACATCCCTGAGTAAAGGACACTTTAAAAGTGTGTCAGAGGTTTCACTGCACACACATGAATTGTAGAAGCCAACCTTTGATCCAGGCTGAGCCAGTGGAGAGAGTCCCTGGCCTGACTCCCACTGTTGTCATGTGGCGTGGGGACACCGTAGAGACTGTCCTTGGTGAACACGGTCCAGTCATAGTCCCTGTCCACCATCTCTCCAACATCCCATGCATTGTGGCTCTGTAAAGGCACAGACACAGAGTAGTAACACAGCAACCTCTTAATGGTAGAACCTCTGTTGATTAAGGACACTCCAAACAAAACCTCTCAATGAAGGACAGACTTTGAGGACAAAATGCCCGGTCCCAAGTCCTTCATTCAGAGGCTCCACGGTATTAAGGAAACATGAGAAATTAACCTTGATAATAGAGAACCCCCTTTCATTACTAAGTGTGTATGAAATATGATCCCTCTTAATATACACAGAAAAAAACGAACCTCCGCATACAACCTTTGCATACAGATGGCTAACCTTGCGATAGAGCTCCCTTCCTTCCACAGCCTCAGCCTCCACCTCCTCCCTAGTCTTGCAGGGACTCACTGCGTCAGCTGCAGAGTCTTCCTTCACTCCCTTACGACCAAAGGTGGTGTCAGTGAGACTCGTGCCAGGAGGCAAGCCTGGGACCTGGTCGTGAGAGGCACCTGCCGTGTGTGTACGTAAAGGATGAACTATAATGCTGGCCCAATGCAGAGCCATGTACATTGTACATAGGACAGCTCAGTGGGATTATAACCTTCTATGCATTTTGCTTTGCTTCATGATTGAACGCATTAATCTTTATTATGGTAGGCAAAAAATGGAAGGCATTTCTGTTGTGTGCAGCACTGTTGCACATTGAAGTTTCATTAGTCTCTCACAACAAAGCTATGTAATCTGTGTATCACTATGACACTGCGTTTAAGCTGGGAGGTGACTGTTCATTCATCTTGCATAGGATGCTATCCTCTATATCAATAGCAGCTGCATTGGAGTTGGATGCACAAAGTTACGCGTATGTATGTATCTCTGCCTTTATGTATGTACGTCTGTTCATGTGTATTACCTAGTGGTGCCTTTAGGTGGCTCCTGTAGATCTGCTCCTGCTGGTGCAGTACGTTGTGCTGGTAGAGGGTCTTTGGTGCAGGATTCACTAGGTCACTTGCCTACAAAATTCAGTTGTACGTTGGAAACTTTCCAAAGCAGCAGTACACTTGCAAGAAAGGGGTCTGCAGCACTCATTACAACTGTGTCCGGAAATTTCTGTGGATGACTTGCTAGCCTCAAAATTCACAAAGACATGGCCACAAAAGTTCGTGTTTTTCATTAATCCTGCTAGAGCTACCCACCTCCAGTGATGTTCTGGTGACCACTCCGTGTCTAATGATAGGGTCTGGCGGAGGATCCCCTGCAAACGAGTGCAGTATCCTCTTCTCTCCTGGAGAGGGTCGGGTTGCTGCTTGAAACTTTCTCACCCGCTCTGGGGTCAGAGGTCGGGGCTCAGGAGATATGATGCACTCTTTGGCACCACCGCCACGTGGAGTCAGTTTCCCGGCCTGTGGGAGGATGGGAAGGGAGGAGGGAGGGAGGAAGGGGAAGATAGGAGAGTCAAAGAGGAATAAACTAAAGCAATCATTTCGGTCATAGGAAAAGTGGTCGTCGTGTAGATACGTATCGTCCATAAGAGGGCCATAGCTTATGGCTATATAAATCCATGATGTTGAAATGAGTTTCCCCATATTTTGCCTAGGCTATCCAGTGTGCTACACAATCTGTTGCAAAGGACCTTCGTCCAGTGAACCTACCGCCCTGATCTCTGGTGCCGTATCCCTGATCTTTGCAGCAGACATCCCGAATCCGCAGGAGGGGCCCTCTGCACATGCGGAGAAAGTTTGCAAATCGTACCAATTGCCATGACAACGCACTTTCGCAACGCGCATGCGCAGGATTTTCGCCCGGGCGGCACTTTCAAAGGGGAATCGTGCTTTCTGCTCTGACCCGCGTACACTGTCAACTCAACTCGCTCAGAGTTCGTTGTGGACGCCATGCTCATACACTCTCAGAGAGAGCCCGTGAGGGTGAGTTGGTTTCAGCCAGGCCATGGGAGGGACGACGTCACCTGATACTCTTGGTGGGTATCAATTAGAGTGTGTCGTTTTCCCCCCTACCCTACACAACAGGCGGCCATACTGTACTCGCTGGAGCACTACTGTCACGAGAGCGCCGTGTTTCTTGCCGAGAGACTGTATGATGAAGGTTAGCGGGGGGGAGGCTAAGGCTAAAGAAAAAAACCCGTGTGGTTTTGTGCAGCCATGTCACGTTGACCAGTTATGGTAGCTGTATATGTTTGGCTTGTAGGTGTATATGTATATGAGTATAAGAAGTGGACTGTATACCATTAGTAGTAGCTAGTAGCTACAAGTGCTGTTGGTGTGTATTGGAGTTGTATGTGGGTCTCCTCTGTACATGTCTTACTCAGGGGCTAAGCAATACAATCATTTGTAGCTATGAAATAGAGGCTGGGCCTTCACTTCAAACTTGTAATTTGTTGGCTGCTGAATCCCTCAGGAATGCTCAGTGACACCAAATATCAAGGTTGAGAGAATGTGGCAGTATATAAAGGCTAATGTTACTAAAAAAGAAAATTATTCTTGCACTGGAAGCTATTTTTTTTGCTACTGCCACATTCCCTTTAGTGTTTTATGGCACGATGCTGGAATACAGTTAGACCTGCTCTCATATTCACACGTGAGTGAATCTGCATGTCACGTGGGCGTATGTGGTTATTGAAACGGTCTAGTTTGTATGTATTTGTATGTATCTGCCCTTCTTGCTATCTCTTACCTTGCTCTCTCTCTCTCTCTTTCTCTTTCTCTCTCTCTCTCTCTCTCTCTCTCTCGTCTACAAACCTATGGTGGAGCAGTAGGTGACGTGGAGTCGCTCTACCTCCTGGCCACGTGTCTCTACCACAGCAGGAGACTTCAGCAGGCCCGTCATCTCCTCTCCAAACTCCGCCCATCCTGCCACGCCCCTTCCAACCTCCTCCATGCCACTATCTGTCTTGACCTTGACGAGTAATGCGATACCATTTCAGCTGTGATGCAAACAACTAATTATCATACACCTTTTGTTTCCTCAAGATCCCTCTAATGTGGACACCTCTCACTGATATGGACACTTCCTTTTATCACATTGGTGTCCTGATTGACCCTCGGCGCGCAGCGAGGGTTACAGTAGTTGGTTTGTCTGTGTGTGTGTCGACGCTTATTCTGGCACCACAGGCTATAAGGCGGCCTATTAGCGATACCAGCGGCTTCAGAGCTATGCGAGCCTGAAAAATAAAATGGCAATTTTCCTGAAAATGACTGCGTTCGAGAGATATGCCGTGAAAACAAGCGAAAAAGCCATAATCCCACTGAGGTTACAGTGACCTGATCCGCTCGCTCTGTGTACATTGGAGGCTCAAGAAGTCACAACTGTATCGACTCCTGCATGCGCTATCTACTTGTGTAGCTAGTCCGTGTCAGACTCTCCGCGAGCTACTAGCGGGAGACCACGAGTAAATAGCCCTACCGATCAATTAGCGGTACTGTGCATGCACAGTGCGCTGAGGGTTTGCACACTTTGTTTCCATTGGAAGGGTTCCACTGTAAAGTCTGGGCTAAAGAAGAGGGAGGGAAGGGGAGAAACATAGAGAGACAGTGGTGTTTGTCATCAGCTGAGCTGCCCTGGTGTGTACCTCAGTGAGTAGCTGGTGCTCTGTCTTGAATGAGTTCAAATCCAATCCCATCTTTTGTCAGGAGTTGTCCTACAGCTGGTGCTGTATCATATCCTTTGCCTTGCGATCTTGTTGTTATTTAGTACATGCATATACTTATCACAAGCTTCTGTACGTGATATGGCATTCGTACTTCTTACTACCACAGGCTAGTATGCGGGATAGGACATGTGTGTTGAGCTCTCTCTCTCTCTCTCTCTCTCTCTCTCTCTCTCCCTCTCTCTTGGAACTGTTATGTTGACTGTTATGTGTCTGCAGCCCTAATGGTGCACTGCTGGCTCTGCAGTCATTCCTGTGTTTCAAAGAGAGCAGTGAGGCTGATGTTGCAGCCTACTACTCCAGCGATGCTGCCGTTGCCTTCTGGCTCCTGGGCCGTAGTTATAGACTATTGCATAATCACAGAGAGGCCGCACGGCACTTCCGTTCCTGTCTCAAGTTTAACCCTTTCCTCTGGAGTGCCTTTGAGGCTCTTACCTCCATGGGTCAGTTTATTATTAACCCTCGGCATGCACGCACTGCGAGGGTTGTGGTGTACTTGCTTTGTGAGTGTGTCTGTCGGTTTGTCTATTTTGTCTGTCCGTCTGTCTGTTACCACATTTTGTGTGACTACGCGCAATGAGACAACAAAACAGTGATACCAATGGGTTCATCGCTACACTGCCTTCATTTTAAAAAGTCGATTTTCGTATAACTACTGTGTTCAAAAGTTATGGCGTGAAAAGCAAGGGAACAAGCCAATGTGCAAATTAGAACAGGCTTACCTCGGCAGATCTGCTTTCTCTGGAGCCACCAGAAATTGCAAACCAGGGCGTGTATCGACTCCCGCATGCTATCTAGTAGTGTATCTAGCAGCCTGTCACAGACTCTCAGGGAGCTGGCAAGAATCCACGAGTATGTGCAGTAGTAAAATAGCCCAGCCCATCAATTAGCAGTACCGTGCATGCGTATACTATGTACGTGCGTGCACTCGTTTCTAGTGCACCAAGGGTTTGAACTTAAATGTTCAGATTAGGGAGTTCACACTGTGTATGTCGCCTAAAATTTGTTTGCCGTCCACGTGCAAAAAAACACGATACCAGATGTGTGGCTTAATTTTTTCATGCTGTAGCTAAAAAATTTTGTTCTCATGGTGTTATAAAAAAAAATTGTATTTCAGGCAACTTGGTTTTACATGAGTTTGTCTTTACAGGAGAAGCCGTCTCTCCAGAAGAGTGTTTCACATTGAACGAGTACCCTCCCTTCCTCCCTCCTCTTCTCTCGGCCGAAGAGTGTCCCCCACACCCTCCCCACCCCTCCTCCTCCTCCCTCCCTCACTCCTCCTCCTCCTCCTCCCTCCCTACAACCACTGCTGAGCTCCGACCCAGTGAGAACTGTGTTCCTCACACGCCTGACGACAGACTCTCCCTGGCCGGGAAGAAACCCAGTGCTTTCACCCCAGTCGACACTAACCGTGTCGGGTACGTGACCCCCGACCTCTTTGCTGAGCCCGGCGTCGGTAAAGCGGTTGCGTCGTCCACTCCGTTACCTCGAGCCTTGGCATTCACGAGGGTGACGTCGTGCGACTCATCTTCGGGGACCGCCAGTGGTGTCATTGTCGGAGGGGGAGGGGGTGGTGGAGAGGGGGGCAGGATCGGTGTGGGCGGGGCCAACACACGCCCGGGCGGTGCAGGTATGGATGTAGGGAGCGTGAGGATGGTCCTGGATTTTGGCTCTGGACCGAAGAGCTCCAGAACTGGAGGAGGAGGGGGAGGGAGTGAGAGTTGGGGTAACACTCCAGTGTTTGGGGTACTCCCTGCGTCATCCTCCGTGGCTCCATCAGGTCCTTCCTCTGGTGGGTGTGGTCAGGGCCCAGCCACATCCCCTGGTCTCACTCCTGAGGTGGTGTCACAGGTCTCACCGTCCTGGTCGGCCCGACCGTCTCTCTTCACCAGGCAACTCCTCACTGCACCCGTCGCTCCCAAAAAGAGAGTTTCGGTTAGTCACTAAATATTGTGGGTGAAAATGTACCGAGTAACAGCTTTTGCTGTAGTTGTTGTTCACACATGTACAGAGTATTGTTTCCTCCAAGTACTCTGGGTGCATGGTCCGTATGGCCATTATAGTGGTATGTGTGAATGCCGTTTAGGAGGTGCGCTATACGTATGTTTTGTGCAAGCAATCCTGTCGAGTTGTTTTGGAGAAGTGGTATATGGTAGTAGAACACACTATCACTGTAGCTTTCTGAGAAGTGAAATTGTATGCAGGGTATCACTGGAGTACTATGTAAGAGCAAATACACACCATTTGTTATAATTTTCCCCTCTCCCTTTCCACGCCCCTTCAATCATTACACAGCACACCATCCCTCCACCAGCATTCAAATTCCCCTTAACTCCAGACGTCCATGACTGCATGTCCGACGTCACAATACCGACCAATCAGATCACTCCCTCCTGGTCACGCGACGCGTTCGTGACACCTCCCCCGATCTCGTCGGAGGGGAGCCCCCCTGTCGTCACCGTGGATATTGGCAAGTCCCACCAGTCGTCAAAGTTACCCCTGAAGAGTGCGCTCCGTCGCAGCGAGAGGTTGCGCAAGTCAGGAACCGGTGTCTCGTGTTCTGTACAGAGAAAAGTCAGCATCAGCAATCTTGTCCATGTGAGTCAGAAACTCCATTTTACACTATGTAGTTCTAGTGTATGAATTAGTGTGGAAGAGTATTGATTTGGGTGAATTTGAGTGTATATATATATATATATATATATATTTTTTTTATGGTTGTGGTAATACACTGGGAAATTCTTTGGTAATGTTTGTTGTGGTGAGAGTGTGTACAGTATTCGCTTATGTATAGGCAATCAATACAGCTTACTTTTGGAGAGTGGAAGTTGACATTCTAACCAGTCTGTGGATGCGCACTGTCGTGGCGCAGAGTTGGTCACACGATGCACACTACAACGTGGGCTCGCTTTTCTTTCCAATCACGGGTATTTTTGTATTTTTTCTCCACATGTACTGTACATAGTAATGTCAGAGTTTGTTTGTATATGGACCTTCGAGTCGTGTAACTGGAAGTGAACACTGAAATGTGAATTGTCCCCACCCTGAATCTCACTCTACATTGGCTGGCCTTTTCTCTACTGTAGAGATCACCATTCCACGTGTTCTATTTTGTAGATGACTCGCTTCGTTTGTCAATAGTTGTACCCACCCTCTGTCTATATTTTTGTACCGTCATATGTAAACTGACACCATAACTGGCCGGCCTGTCTCAGTGGTTCCACATAAGGCACTGTGTTTGATCCCTCCCCGGGTTGTTTTAGGAATAGCGTGGTCAGTAACAATGTGTTTTTTTGGAAGACGATCCAATCTGTTTGCACTGCCTGTGTCCATTTGTGGGAATGGAAGAGAAGCCGCCTCAATTTGTACCAGACAATTTGTATATAATTATACCAGATTCGTAGTGAGCTCGAGCCCCTTCATGTGGATCTGTTCTTGTAAAGTTGCATCTCCAGTCGTGAAATTTTGGTCACTTGACCCTGAAAATGGAGTTGTGATAATTGTAGACGGAATTGTCCATACCGTAGTGCTTTATACTCAAAAACACTTTGCACTCGCATTTGCTCACCAGTAATGCGATTTTGTACAGTGTTGGCTGGTTTTTAGTGTTCAACATGCACAGCGGACACTCTCAATTTCAGTTTATAATTCGAGGCACGTGTTCGTAACTACTTGCAGTGCTTTTCCGTGTGTGTGTGTGTGTTTGTCAATGTGTAAGAGTCTTGAACCAGCATTCTCTGTTTGTCATGTTTCCATTTCAGAGCAGCAATGCCTCCAAGTTTCGACACAAGTCAGGGACCAGGGATGGAGAGAGGTCTCCAAGGAAGGTGGGCCATTAGTAACATACAGATCCCTTATGATGTCTGTTTCATTTTGTAGTGTGTCATGTTCTAATGTATGTATGTATGTTGCATTTTGTATTCATGCCAAGGGCTGTGTCAACCTTCCAAGCGTCTATCTGTTTTGAAATGGTCTGCAAAACGTTCTTTCACAAGATTTTGTGTCCAGGATCGTTTTTCTTTCAGTAGGGACTATGAACCTACACTCTTCTGCTTTCCCATTCTCCCCCTTGAAGATTTCTACCATGCGAAAAAAAGTAGAAAGTAGTCTGTCAATCTGCCAAGACCCAACTCTTTTCTCTGAGCACCAATTAACAGCACCCTACCTTTAAACCCTGCATGCAGTGTTGTACATATTCATGACCCATAACCTTCATGACCCTATAAATACACAGTGTATGTATATACCAGCATGGCATTACTCTACACCTCATCTCTCTAGATCTCTGTGTGCCAATTTACCTCCTCTAAACTTAAGGAGTTCAGAATTACGCATGACTCAATCTGTCTGTACTGATAGGGCTCTAGTAGGAGTGTGTCTGGAGGGTCACCGGTGACCAGTAGAGGCAGCAGCAGTCCCAGGAAGTCCAGCTCGGGTCTCAAGACTGGAGTGAGTGTTGGTGGTGGGGGAGGAGGGAGGGGAGGAGGGGGAGAGGGTGAGGGAGGAGGAGGAGGGAGTGGGGAGATGGGAGGAAGGAAGGAAGCAGCACTCAGACTGGCTGAGCAACAGGCCATGGCCAGCATAGGTGAGCAACTGCCCACCACCAGAACCATCTGAACTTGCATATTACAGTTGGATAGGTGTTTTACACATATTTTTAGTGAGCAAAGCGACCTTTGAACCGCTATATACAGTACGTGATTTTCGGGCATGTGGATTGTTATGGTGCATGGTTGTTGTTCGTGACATTGGGAAATTGTGCAATCCAGACGACTTTGGCTTAAGGTTTTTTCCTTTGGTTAGTTTTTAAGCTTAATATTGGTTCTTGTGTTCGCGCATGCACAGCATGAAATAGTAATATTTTTGTTTTGTACAATGTATCCTGCACTGCAGTTCTGGAAGACACTCGTACTTTCACGACACCTAAAAGCAACCCCCCATTTCATGGTTATGGTTGGCTTGCGAACCTATTGCACGCTAAAAAGATAATTTACGTACATTACTGGTTTCATAAACTTACATACATTATGTTGTCGTGGAGGTATTTACGTGTAGTTCAACTCGCGTGAAAGAGTTTTCCTTTAATTAATGTTTCCCGAGAGTACTATCTTCTCCTCATGACTGACACACTGCACGAGCACTGATGGCACACTGTAACTAAATTATACTGGGTTCATAAATTGGTGGAAGTATTGATTTGTCATAATAATAAGGTGGTGGTGTCAAATTTGTCCTGAGAATACTGTTCTCTCCTCATCACCTGTGTACATAGTATTTATGTAGTTCAACTCGCGTGAAAGAGTTTTCCTTTAATTAATGCTTCCTGAGAGTACTATCTTCTCCTCATGGCTGACACACCGCATGAGCACTGATGGCACACTGTAACTAAATTGTACTGGTTCATAAATTGGTTGATTTGTCATAATAAGGAGGTGGTGTCAAATTTGTCCTGAGAATACTACTGTTCTTTCTCTCCTCATCACCTGTGTGCTACTGACGTCTACTGCAGGATCACTGATGAATCTCCTCCAGCAAGTCGGGACTGCGTACCAGTGTCTCCACGGCTACGACCTCGCGACCTCGCTGCGCTGTTTCCGGTCCCTCCCGCCTCGTCACCGCTCGTCGGCCTGGTGTCTGAGTCACATGGCCCGAGTCTACCACTCGGGGGAGAGGTACAGAGAGGCCGCCAAGCTCTTCAGAGAGGTTCACAGCATTGACCCTCATCGACAGGACGGTGTGTGTAAATCGGATCTTTTAGTTTTGAGTCGATACTTTTTAATTTTTGGGGCATGTGACTTGTGCAAAAGTTGACGTCTATGTTTTTTTAAATACACATTACGCGTAGTGATACTTATCAGCCCGCACTGTGTAAACATCAGAACAATCAGTTAGGTATACACACTTTAATTGGCATGCATTTCCCCCCCCCAATTTTTATACTCCAATAAATGCAGTGTTGTACATATCATGACCCATAACCTTCATGACCCTATAAATATGCAGTGTATGTACCAGCATGGCATTACTCTACATTGGGTAGGCTCTCGTTATATACGTAAATGTGGGCATAAAGTTGCAGGTTGACACGAACTGCCATGTTTTACAGTATAATTATAGACTTTGGGAGCAAATTGTTATGTATGTACGTACTTTTGTATTTGCTGATTGTTGGATGAGGTGGATCAATAAGAGTGGGCAAAAGGCAAAACACAAGTGTTGCAATGCAGCTTATGTCATTTGACTACCAGTGTAATATCAGACCGGAGATTAGCTTGCAGATTCGTGGGCAGCCTTTAATTACTATGTTTTCAGTATTATTATCAACAAATGATGTCACCGGTCATAATTAGACTTCCCTGTAGCCTGTATACACCTGCACTGTCTCTGTGCATCCAGTATATGAGCTCGTGTAATGCAATCGGTAGCTTCAGGGAGCCACTTCATGCCTCTAGAATGTGCTGACACTTGTTGAAAGGGGATACAAGTCCTTGTAAGGAGTTATCTCGGTACATACTAGTACATACACATGAAGTTATACATGACTGTTGCAGCCAGGCTATGCAACATTAGCTGCAGTTTTTGCTTGGTTTCTTAAGTGCTTGTTGTGGGTGGAGGTCATTGTGTTGGGACTATGGATGTACTGTATAGGTGAGTGGGCAGTCATACATAGGCTGTTGCAGGTTGTGGAACATCCTACATGTGCCTGCTATCTATTTATACTAGATGAATGCTAAGTGTTTTTGGCGAGCGGGAGCGATCCAACTGCGAATATGCATATGTACATCCGTTGGTGAGCATGAACAACAGGGAGCATTGTAGTAGGTGTAGTTGGTGCCTCTGTTGAGTGTGATGCTGCACGCTGTGCCCGTGCAGTTGCAAGAAAGCACTCCTCAGCTGCTTTTGAAGCGAGACGCTGCCACCTGCGAGCTCTGTCTCGCGGCTCCCCGGCGCCGAGAAAGACGTGTTTTCCGCTCCTCGGCTGTAGAAAGGGAAAATCGAACAGTTGCAACGACTGTATGTAGGTTGGCTGACTCCCACTCGCCAATTATGTACGTAATTATACTTTTTGCAGTGCAAACTACAGTGGGGCTGGTTGGCCTCATGCTCTGAGTACTCTGTCTATAATGATACTGTTTCCAGTGTATGCACGACAGTAGGTGTGGGGCAAAAGGGACTCTCTCAGGCATCTTTAGATGTGTAGTCTTCCACACGCTGGCAGCTGCCTTTTAAAACTAACCGGGACCATCAAAAGTGTAACATGAATGGGGATTTTTAATGGAACCTTGTGTAAAGACACTCGGAATAAAGGACACATCTCTATATATTATTATTTTACCTCTAAATTAAGGACACCTCAATATTGAGGAAATGGTGTTTGTACAGAGGTTCCGATGTATGTATTTGACGTTGACTGTATTTCTATTAGTGATGCACGTACTGCATGGGTAGTGGTGCTAGGAACTGTTCATTTGTTGAAAGTGAATGGTCTGCATCTGGTTGTTTGTGCATAGCGCTGTGTCCCATGTACTAGCTCAGTAAACTGTATCTTCTATGCAAGGTGCACACTTTCCCGTAGTTAAGTCGAGAGTGAAATTTCATGATTTACGACACCTATCACTAAGTACGGTAGTACTTAGTATATAGGGATGACACAGGTTGTCCTGCATTATGCCCATACATTTGAGATTTTCATGTTTCACAATCAGATGATATCCAACTTTTTTTTACTTGTCATACTTAGTTTGGAGGTATTTTTGTGCATCGCACGAGTTACGTCCTCCATGTACTTAAAACTTTGTTTGGCAAAAACTTTTTCCTCTCCTCTCTCCCCCCCTCCTGGTCAGGTATGGAGTTGTTTGCCTCGTGTCTGTGGCATCTCCGTTGCGACGTGGAGCTGTCCGTCCTCACCGACTCACTCCTGACCTCTGACCCCAGCCGAGTGGAGGGGGCGTGTGCCAAGGCGACCTCTCTGAACCTTGCGAGAGACCACGAGGGAGCCGTCAAGTGCCTCCAAAGAGCCATTTCTGTAAGTCTAACCATAGTGCAGGTTAAAGGGTGCAAATTTTAGAGATGCTGAAATTTTCCGATGGTATCGTTTGTGCGGGGTTAGTGGAATTGTCGCCCGAGAGAGCAGTCTGCAGGTTAAGCGAGAGTCTGCTGCTATCATTAATGTAACAATAGACCATGTGATGCCAAGAGAAAAAAGATGCGGAGCTCTGGACAGCTGTTTCGGGTTAAATATGTAACTATCTGTGCTTGGTCTGTAAAGTGGTTCATGCACTTACAATGCCAGGCGTGACTCGCTGGTGCAACAGAGTACAGTGTGTGCATGTCATTTCCAGTGAATCTGTTTATGTATGTGCCTACTTCTCCTGGAAACCCCTTCTCCAATGATGAGCAATAGAGCTGCGAAGAATGAGAGGAATGTCCCTATTTAACGAGGCATTGATTAATTGCCAGATGATAATCCAACTGGAATGAGGAATGAAGCACTGGCGTTTTTTCCGCCTCTCTTCCTATTTACACATAATAACCACAAATAAGGCAAAGCTTTATATGACCATCGTTTCGTGTAGAGAGTGGGGGATATTTGATTCTTCTCATTCCAAGAGTTCTTATAAGTTGAACTTCATCATCTTGCTATGTACATATACATCTTCTTATTACTATATACGAGGATAAGGCTAAAATGTATGTAAAAATGACTTAGGCTAGGTTCACAGTACGTCGAATTGCCCCGCCTCGCCGCTTTGCCACGCCGCGAGGATAGTCTATCTTCACTGCAGGACGCGACGGGGCACGGTGCGACGTATTGTGAACCTAGCCTTAGGATTGTGTGATCCAATATCTTACAATAGAGGCTGAATTGGGCAGTGTCTGTCGTAATCCAATCCAACGCCCCATCTCCCATTATTCTCTCTATGGACGCCCCTCTATGTGACGTGGTTCACCAATGGTGTAACAATAACGTGACATTCGCCCAGCAATTAGAGTCTTTCATGCGATACTCATAATGCTAGTACACTACATCCACGGCCCATCCGCCTGTCCGCCTGCACAATCTGTGAGAGCATGGTACGGTTTCTTCATTGGCTGAATGTCGTGGAACGTTGCCAGTCCAAATGAGGGTTCATTAGAGACCCGGGTCCCAGCTAACACCCTCATGCCTCTCACCTGCCCCTGGTTACCTGTATACACATCTCTCACACCTCATGAGGCTTGATGTGATTGCCGTTTTGTTGGGCCTGGAAACAATCAATACTCGTTTCAGCATACCAAAGACTTGATGAATGCATATTTAGCCTCAGTGTGCTTGAAAGTTGTGTGTCTTTGCTGCGAATCATCCCTAAGCTTACGGTGACAAACTCCTAAATGAGGCTTGATGTGACTGTCTGATTGCCGTTTTGTTGGGCCTGGAAACAATCAATACTCGTTTCAGCATACCAAAGACTTTGATGAATGTAGGGTGCATATTTGGTAGGTTCCCCATATAAGCAATCACGAAAAGATCACACCTTTTACATACAGATATATATGTACGTATATTTGGCCTCAGTGTGCTTGAAGCTGTGTGTCTTTGCTGCGAATTATCCCTAAGGTAATAAACTTACGGTGACGAACTCCTCAGAGTTTCTTGCTTATTGAGTGGTTTCTCATAGCATTTGTACCATCTGTCGGAGTTGTTTGACTGCCCCTCGTTACCCTTATATCCAGTTGGTAGTTAGTCCTGCATGTGACATAAATGTCTCCCACCCGAGACTGGGTCTCACATTGATGCAGGGCTGAGACCCAAATGGGTCGTCAGGGGTGAACCTTGACCCGCTCGCTCTAAAATAGCCAGAGGTGCGGAGCCTATTTTAGAGCCCGCCTTTTTTTAAGAGAAAAGAGCCTGGTGTCCTCCGTTCATTCATGCGCCATTGTTATAACACTCCCATTCAGTGAATTATAAAGCCTCGTATGTATGATCAACCACACAATTCACTGGATCGGTCATGACGAAATTTAGAAATGTTACTAAAAATGGAACTCAATTGCATTCTTTCACAGTGTCCCTATTGTTTTGTTCTATCTTTAGTAACATTTCTAAACATGGCCATTTGTACTACTTGTTACTAAGCTTGGTATCATACATGCCAATCTGAGCCTATCATTAAGCATGCATAACAATAATTATGATGCCCTTTTCTCCTCCCAAAAGATAATAATATTTTCCTACTTACACCTACATAATGTGTGTAAGTGAGTTACAAGGTCACAGTGTTACCACTAGTTGAAATAGACTAATGAGTGCTAGTAGTAGTTGGGGTGCAAGGGACGCTAATTGGTGCTTATCTCATTCTTTATTTGTTACGTAGCTGGTACTGACAGATTTGTGTGTTGTAAGTGTACAACTGTGGCGGCTCTGATAGTACATGTGTAGCTCTGGACATTGCTGTCCATATGACCCAATTATTAAGAGCATTTCACACGCGCACACACACACACACGTAAATGTGTATGTTCCAGTTTGCAGAAGGTTGCTGAGTGCATTAGAGTGTTACCATGGCAGCATCACTACTATACTGTCAATAGCTCAGTATACCTGAACCTCTGTGTGTGTATAAATATACATGTATGTGTATGTTCCAGTTTGCAGAAGGTTGCTGAGTGCATTAGAGTGTTACCATGGCAGCATCACTACTATACTGTCAATAGCTCAGTATACCTGAACCTCAGTTTGCAGAAGGTTGCTGAGTGCATTAGAGTGTTACCATGGCAGCATCACTACTATACTGTCAATAGCTCAGTATACCTGAACCTCTGTGTGTGTATAAATATACATGTATCCTGTGTCTCAGTATGGTATCGTAAGTGGTGGTGGTAGATGGTTGGACGTTGCTTCCTGTTGCTATGGGACATAACGATTGCTGTGTGCAGATAAGAATTCACTTGTACTGCATGTATCCTTATGACGTGTGTGTCAACCAGATTAACGTATGTACAGTTTTCATTTCCGCTAAGGATAGTGTCACATCTCGTGTGTTTGTAAGTGTGGTATGTAGTACAAGTGTGAAGCACATACAGTTGTGTCTTATGTGGTGCTAATCATAGGCTGGGGACGCAAATTGGACACCACTTGTTGGTAGTGTATTCAATTTATGTACAGGAGGACCACTTGAAGATCTGATCACTGCACTCTCCTCTATAACTAATAACTCACCTCTTCTGGAGGTCAAGTTGCACACATTTTTTCCGAATCTTCAGCATTCAATTTTACTGCACATGTGCTTAAAGTGGGTACATTACATCGTATACTACATCGTTATTAGTAGAAAGTAGAAAGGCTTGTTGTATAAAAATGCTCTCTTTAATTGCTGACTGCTTAAAGAATTATTTCTAGCCTCCGGAATACTTGTTCCAAGCATCTTTGATGTGCTTTATTTACAGTCCCAGCCAAACAAACTTTATTCTTTTTCACTTTTGTGTTTGTACGTCATCCAAGCTCCTACTACTATGTGTGCAAATATGTATAGCTCTGTGTGTTCCAGTAATAATAATATGTTTTTCATTATCATTTTTATGCAATGGCTTATTGGGTCTAGCCACGAGGGAGTAGCCATATGGATCACGTCTTACGTAAACTGCCAGCGTTTTCAGGCCATGAATAATATCGGAACGTTCTGGAGTGGCAGGCAGGAGTCTGAGCATGTTGCCTGGTGCATGGAGCATTTCATTGGGTAGTGGATGGCAAATGGGCCGTCACAAGTACTCCACTCCTTGATGGTGGGTCACAGGCTCTCCCCCACTTAGTTTTTTCACTGAAACAACTCACACTTTCACCATCCAGCCATGGACCACAAAAGTTTATTGCTCTACATACCTTATCTCCGTGTGTCTTGAGTCCCTGGCTCCACAAACTTCAACACGCACGTCAGAATCATGTAATAACCTAAGCGCTCATGTTTCAAAGATGGGTACATGTGGTTCACGAAATTCAAAAGTTTTTTTGTTTGTTAGTCTCTCTCTTCGTCTCTCACTCCCTTACCTCCCTCCCTCCCTTGCCTCCTTTACCTCCCTCCCTCCCTCATTTCATTACTCTCTCCCTCCTTCCCTACCCTCCCTCTCCCTCTACCCCCCTCTCTCGTTCTCCTCCCTCCTTCCCTTACCCTCTCTTTCCCTCTCTCCCCTCACATCCAGCTATCTCCAAGGTTTCCCTATGCCCACACTCTCCTCGTCACGAGTATGTGATGCTTAAAGACTTTGAGAAGGCAATGTCGTCATTCCAGACTGCTGTATCCCTGGATCCAAGACACTACAATGCATGGTGTGTATGTGTACTCCGTCTGCGTACATATGCACGATACACAGCGTGCTTTCTCTGTAATGTTGGGGTGATTTGTTACGATTTCTGGGGTTAATGGGTAAATGATGTTAACACAATTGAGAGTACAAGATTCGTTCAGTCCATTGATTTAGCTTTGGGGAAGAGGGGAATTGTGGGTTAGAATGGGTCGGCCCCCTCTCCTGATCACTCGTCCTTCCTAAAGACCACGATACATTATTGCGCAAGAAAGGTTGCATCCAGCTTCATATGTATGGATATGATAGGTCCGGTCTATCATACCCATACATTTGAAGTTGCATGCAGCCTTGTCTTGCGCAACAAAGCTGCATTGTGATTCATGGCCTTATAAAGGGAACAACTGATGTCTTGTCAAGTTGGAAGATTGCTGTGAATAATTCGCTTCATGTGTCGGAACTGAATATGTATGTTGTAGTGAGGAGGAAGTAATGTTACTACACATTGGTTCCTTCCAGCTTTTGATGTACAGTTAATGAGGATGCTTACCTCCTCAAACATGTAGTGATTGATTGCTATGTCCGGAAGTTACCGGCTGAATTGCTCAGAAATCATGCATGAAATAATAGTTACATTGTGTACGGCCTTGAAGAGAACCTCTGATATCTTGTCAAGGAGGTGGATTGTTGCACATTTTTGCTTCATGTGTGGTAGAACTGAAGTGTGGAGGAAATGACGTTGCGTGGTTTAATTCCAGCTTTAGATTTAAGCTGATGGGGGGGTGCCTATCTCGTTAAACATGGTGATTGATTGGGAAGTTTACTGGCTGGATTACTCAGAATTGATGATATTGGACACCCACTTCAAGTCCCACTGCTCTTTATCTTAATAACTTCATACCTACGTAGTATTACATGAGGTGTAGTAAAAGTTCATTTGTTCATATTCAAGCAACAGTTTTACATATGCACGCATGGTGTACATACTTGATAGGGAGACTGTTGTGTGGCCCACATGGTGTACTTGATAGAGAGTGGCCCACACTCTTTAACTTATAAAAGTGTGGTTTCCACTTGGATTGGGTACAATTTATGCAATGCTTTTGTCGTGATGAAACTCTGTGTTCGCGTGTATGTGTATGTGTCTTCTCTCTGTGGTCTTTGGAATCTTTGTTGTAGTAGATATTTCCAGCCAAAGTCCCCTGCATATTTCTCTCCTAATCATGCAGCTTCAATTTATCGTCTTTAGTATAGCTTCGTGTATTACTTACCCTGGAATGCTTGTAGTAATACGTACGTGTGGCATTCTGATCAGCTGCAACTGAAGCCTGTAGTGTATGTATGTTGTATACTGGTGGGCTTTTTCTTAGTTGGAGGTCGGAGGTATTTGAATTCTGTGGTTTGTTATGTTGTGGGGTTCTGTTGTCGGTGTTGTAACTGCCATAGGGGATCATTTGCATGGCGAACTAGTCACCTGAAACACCACAAAGTGAGCCAGACAGCATGGTGAACAGTTTCAAAGGAGGAAATAGCAGCCCCTGGCCTACTACTACTATATACTACACTATATAGCTTTTACAAAAGGCCCAATGGCTTTAAAGTTATGGTTGTGTGAGTGAAGTGGTGACACTCCAGATGAGTGGCACTTTCTCTCTATGATTGTGTATGTGTATCTGTGAGTGTTGGTGACTGGTGGAGTATAGAGAGCGAGGAAGGGTAGGGAAGGAGTTGGATAGTGATATGTAGGGAGTTGGGAAGTAAGAGGGAGAAGGGGAGGAGGGAGAAGGGGAGGAGAGAGAGAGAGGAGAAAGGAGAGAGGGTAGCAGGAGACAGAAATGGGGAGAGGGTGGAGAGACAGAGGTGAAAAGATTGAGGACAGGGAGAGGAATGGGAAGTGAGAGGAGAGAGAAGAGGACAAGGAGGGAGATTCAAAGTGTGAGGGAAGGAAGAGGAATGGGGAGAGAGAGGAGAGAGAGAGAGAGGAAAGAGAAGAGAGAGAGAGATGTGTGTGGCTGCAACTGTTTGACAACAGAATCTGGTGCCATTTCCCCGCGTTCTGCCAGGTCTTCATGACATGCACCACAGACCTCGTCACTGGGGAAGCCCTCTGTATCGAGAGCCAATCACAATTCCAAACGGTCACTTCAATTACTGGATTGCATTCCCAGACTCGACTAAAGTAGCTACTGATCGCTCCATGCCTCTTTATGTTGGCATCTTGCCTTATACGCACTTTATACACAAGTGTATGCATAGTTGAGCACTAAATACCTCTACCCCAGTTAATGACATATGGGTATGCATCATTACATATGCAGTACTAACACGCAGTATAACATACACATAGTTTCAATAACCAAGTATCACTACCAAAGCTGTTGCGTACGTAGTGCAGGAGAGGGTGTGCAGGTGTCAATGTATGAATGTACGTTCCGCCAAACGACCCACAGTCGGTAGTTTATTTTCCGTGAAAGCTGTGTGCGTGGGTCGGCAGCCGGCCTTCGCGGCACTGCGTCGGGATAGTGTGTATCCCCAGTGCACCGTGCTGTGTTGATCTGAGAGTTTTGTTAGCGCTGCATACGATATCCCTATAGCCCACATTGATTGTGTGGGTTTCTCCTGTCATCATTACTGTCACGGTGTGTGTGTGTTTTCTCTGGAAAACTTGTGCTTGCGTGCTTCAGATACCCAGAGCTAGCGGCTTCAGAGATTTATTGCTGGGGGACTATCAGCCTCACTAGCAACACAGTTTAGATGGTCCCAATAACGGGACACCTACTATTTTGGGGTCAAAGTATCCCCTGGGAAGCATATTCAGGGGGACAAATGAAGAGATAGAGGGACAGTGTCCCCCTGGCACACTCTGGCACCAGCCCTGGGATACCTGCATGTGTAATGTCAGCAACTGTTCCAATTCTTTAGAGAAAGTTATCTTCTCCCATAATTGAGGGCTTTACATACAGTAATAACAGATTGGAACCTCAACCTGAAGGGGTCAGAGTCAGAGTGGGCCAACCCTCAATATACAACTCTTGCCGTTTTCCCTTCAAATGTCCTTATAGAACAAAAACCGGCAAGAGTTGTATATTGAGGGTTGGCCCACTCTGACTCTGACCCCTTCAACTAAAGAGCTAGACTACTATAATGTCAATGTTAACCGGTATTTCTCTTCTACATGGTATAACACATGGTTTTGTTAGTGGTGCAGCAGAATAAGGGACAACCTTGGGGACACCTTTTATAGAAGTGTCCTTTATTTGGAGGGTCCTCTTTCAGAGGTTTCGCTGTATAATGCGTTGCTTAGTAAGACGGAAGCTAACTTTCACTGAAGTTTCCATAAGTAGGAGAACAACAATGTCCCACAGTCAGTTGTCTTTTCATCATCACCATCATCATCATCACCATCATCATTTCATTGATGCAGGTACGGCATGGCCCATGTCTGCTTCTCGCAGGAGCGCTACAAACTGGCAGAGGTGTACATCTCAAAGGCTCTGGGGGTTAACAAGTCCAGTGCCATCTGTTGCACACAGCTAGCTCTGGTGAGTCACTAACACTCATGTATCATATATACTGCTAGCTCTGGTGAGTCACTAACACTCATGTATCATAATTATACTGCTGGCTCTGGTGAGTCACTAACACTCATGTATCATATATACTGCTAGCTCTGGTGAACACTTATGTATGCAGTCAAACCACTGAACACATTTAAAGCCTCCTTCATTTAGAGGCGTTCGGAGGTGGTATAGTACAGTGATGTATTAGTATTGGGCAGAACCAAGTGTCCCTTGTAGATAGATGTCCTTTATATACACAAAGGGTCCTTTTTCGGAGATTGCACTGTATTTGAGAGACTGACACTTGTGTACAGCACAGCTAGCTCTGGTGAGAGACTAACAGTACAGCCCATTGCGAGAGATAGTATGGCACACCTTCCACTGTAGCTCTGGTGATGGACTAACAGCACACTGAAGTCAACATAGTACATTTTGTACTACATGGTGGAACTTCGTTATGCAAAGTAGCGTCCATCTTCATGGTGGCACGGGAAAATAATATATTCCTACTCTCTCCATGTGCGGATTAATATGAGAGCTTACAAATACTCCTACTCCTTCCAGCACACAAGATTGGGAGGAAAGCTTATCTCAGAGATACATGTGTGTGTGTGTATGTAGAGTAGGGGAGGCAGAAAGATAAATATTAACATGCCATATAGTAGTATGCTGTGCGGAGGAATGGGAGATATGTGTATATGTGTAGGTTGTGTATACGACTTGGAGTGTGAGCTGTGTGTGTGTGTATGTATCACCTTTACAGTTGGACGAAAGTGGAGTATAGCAGGTATGGGGGGGGGGATCACTGTGTATGTACCAAACAGGGAGATTGTGCATGTGGGAAGTTTGATAGAGTGTGTAGTGGGAGGAAGTTGTAATGTCCCATAAAGTCTATGTGAAGAAAGGGAGAGGAGGAAGAGGGTGAGTGGAGTCTACAGTCTCATGCACTCCTCACCTTCACTGCGAAAGGTGGTCATCCAATATTGCATATCTAATGTCGTACCCACACCTCCAAGCCATTCACCAGTATAACATGGTCGTGATGCCGTCCGTAGTGAGCCAAACCATTCGATCACCATTATGATCTCTTAGTTAGCCATTCATAGGAGCTGCTAGAGCGGCAAGGACATGGACACTGAGATTGCCATCCAATTCCCGTACCTCCAAGACATGGTTCTTTCTTCACATAAATCAGAGTTTAGTAAATGAAGGTCACGAAAGAACAGAAGGAACAAATGTTATTGGACAAAGTAGACCTGGTGTGCCTTAGTGACTGAGCTATTCTCGAGCTGCTGAAAGTGGTAGGGACATGCTGTAGGGACACTACGTATGTTGGTGTGGTTGACTGCATGCCTACATATGTAAAGTATATACCCTAATGACTCTAGGCTACTGTTTCATTAGTGAGATGTGGGAGGAGGGAGGGAGGAAAGGAATGCGTGTGTTTGGCATTTGTTGTATGCACTTTACCCTGTACCCTGGTCTAAAATCATTATGTGAAGAAGCGTGGGCTGGGATTTCTGGCAATTGGCTTAGCTAAACAGCCCGTTATGCCTAGTTTGTGCAGTAGCGTACATGTTTGGCTAGCTTGAAATAGCTGGAGCTACATGCCTGTGAGACACTCCCTCTCCTAATGTGATGTGTATGCATCATTGTCTTTTTGAGCTGGGCCATTTGTCTTCCATAAGGATGCACTAGCACAGTACATACCTGTTTCTCTCTGTTTGTTTCGTCTTTATCCCAACTGATTGGTTAACTATATGTACACAAACCTTATTCTACAATACCTGCATATTTTGTAAAAAAGAAAAGCTTTTGCATAAATTGCGCTAAATACACAAGCCTTATTTTACTCCTGCATGTAGATGTCAGGAGGTATTAGTAGTCCAAAAAAGACAGACATGGAGACTGCGCTGAGTATTACATGGCAATGATAGTACGTTTCTTGTTAAGTATCGTCTTCCCTGCATTTCACACACACACACACACACAACACACACACAAAACAGCGAAGGGCTCCAACTCCCGGGAGGCGGTAGTCTCCCTCCCTCCATTCTCTGCTGTCAAAACACCTCTTCTCTCCCTCACTCACTCATTACATTCCACTGATAACCCTCCATGCACCATTGGAGCCAATTATAATTCCACACAGAGTCACTGAAATTACCAGCTCTCAATTCGCATGCCAGCGGTGTGCAGTGAGTCGAGTGGCTATTGGTTACCATCTGGTTAGCTTGAAGTGTGCATGTTTGCAAACATTTTATTTTTAGCACATTTTTTCTGCTTGAGGCCCTTCGCATTGCACTCAAGGGTTTGATTAAAACCAAAGTGGCTTATGGCTTACAAGTGTGTATGTGTGTGTGTTGTCTTACACTATTGCCTGCAAATTTTTGAAAACGTGTGTACATTCTTTCGTTACTGTGTGTTGCTTATGATGCAACATGCTCAAGTCTAAACAGATAATATCACAATGAAAGTGAAAAGACATGAAACTATCATGTATGTACATCTATTGACATGCCTACTACCACTCATCACGTGAATACCATTGCACTCTCCCTGTGGTGTGTGTATGTAGGTATGCACCTCTTGCCTCAGCAAATAAGTACTGCGTTGTTGGCCAGGGAAGCGAACCTACTACCTAGACGTCTGAATGCAGGAACTATATTTATAATATCTTGCTCATTTGTATGTGACGGTCACTGCACATACTACCACAATGTTCTACATGATTCTATACACACACGAAAAATTGAACGTTACTCTAAAGAAAATTGAACTGCGCTTTCCAAAAAAGCATGGCATTCATTCTAGTATTTTTAACCCTGTTTTCAGTGTAGTGTAGTGGGGTGTTTTGTAACCCTCCTATTGTCTGGCTGCTACAGGTGCAGTTTCGCCAGAGGAACCACGTGGGGGCCCTGAGACTGCTAGATACTGCAGCCCAGCTCTCCCACTCCAACCCAATCCCTCGCTTCCACAAGGCCAAGGTCCTCGAGTCTCTCGGACAAAACGAGGTGGGTGTGGCACTGTACATACGTGACGAGGTGGGCGGGGCATTATACACGTGTACTTACCAGGTGTGTATATACAACCAGGTATCCCATCGTTTGTCATTTCATTAGTACAATCCAATAAGTTATTATACTCATGGATTGAGTAACTGGGTCACATATGCTCACACATTGTGAACCGCTGATGAACACAGACCACGTCAAAGTCTCTTACGTTGGAATTGGTAATCAGTTTCAATGGCAGTTTCAATGGCTTAAAACAAGACTCCTTTTTCCGTTTTGTGTCTAAATGTACATACATAACCCGGAAGCCCTGTTTTGCTAGTGTCGTGGCTTGGCACAGTGTGTGAATCATCATCACAGTCAACATGTTCCAACAGTGGTATGTATGTATACGCCTAATAGGGAGGTAAAATAACTTTCTAAAGAATCACGTAAATATCTTTTTCATTATCAGGAAACCTTCTAACTGTATAATTGTCAGTGGGCTAGTCGGCCAATAGCAGTTTTAGTTCATATGAGTCAGTGTGTACTAAACAAAGGTCAGAAGAGAACAAAAAGAACAAATCTTTTTGGTTGTTGAATATACAGTCCGCTGTAAGAAACCAAGGCTAGGGATTAGACTAGACGATATAAAAAAGTAAACCATGATTTTCGACTATGAAGTAGCGACCTTACCTCGTGAACAACCGTCTATAAATTTTTCTTTCCTCCCTCCACTTCACAAAAATTTAGCAACTGTTAATACATTTCTCCTCAAATCGTAAAATGCAGACACTCGCACGTGAAGATGTGCATGCTACATAGGTATTCAGTGGTTTGAGAATGTGATTCCAGATGGTATGGCAGGTAGCGGAACACCAATTCATTGATATGACTCGGCTCCGCACACATGAATTTACCGCACTTCAAGAAATGCGACGATGAGGCCTATTGGGTTACGACGAGGTGCGATTCTGTAGTAAAGTGGGAGCAGAGAGGTAGCAGGAGGATAATAGATCACAGATAAGAGAGCTGTCGGGGAATGTGCGGTCTTCATGCGCCTACATATCTGTCTGTTTGCTCGGGGAGCAGTGTGGGAGGTGAATGAATTGAGGGAGGGAGGGAGGAGAAGGAGGGAGAGGGAGAGAGGGGGGTAGGGACGAGGGAAGGAATAGAAGGAGAGAGAGAGGGAGATATTGAAGCTAATTGTTATATGCAGACACACACACGTGCAAAATATGACTCTCATCTGAGTTCCTAAGAGATGAACCTAGGAAAGAGCGCTTGCAAAGGGTTCAGCCAGAATTAAGGTGTGTGTGTCAGTTGCCAGCGAAATCAAGACACGTGTGGCTTTTTACGTAACTCGAAGAACCGTTTCCAATTCACAAGCATGTGAGTGTGGAGTCCAAAGGTTTCGTTTCCAGTTACGACGAATTCTTAGTACGGTGGTGCGGCAGACCTACAATTATTTATAGGGTATAATTGAGGGGATTCCTCACAGCTAATAGTGTGTCCAGTTATGAGTGAAATGTAGAGCATGTCTTCCTTCCATTGGATATCCCATGGGTTGCTGTATTTACTCCATCGGCATGTGTGTGGAATTCGAATTGAACAGTTCTGTGGCATTCTTGTGTACAAAACCTTCCTAGAAACTTTGTATACCTTTTTGTCAGATATTAGGTCTGCTCCCTTGCAAACACAGAGTATTGGGCTACTAATCTAATGGTAACAGTGAGAAGGGTAAAGGTACATACAGGGGAGAGCTGAGTCAGCACTGTTGCTCTAAGTAAGACACCTGGACTTGTGCTGCTGGTGATGTGCCACGTGTTGACTTTGCCGAATTAGAGCTGGGCTAGTGATATGGTTACGGGACAAGGAAATGGTGATTACCAGTGGTTGGGTCCTTTAGTTCCACCCTGGAACCCAGCCAACAGATGGAGAGATAGGGAGAGATAGGAAGGAGAGGGAGGAGGGGGACGGGAGAAGGGGAGAAGGAGCTTAGGTTTGACTGAGTGTTTGCTACGGGGGGCACATCTCAATCTCAGAACCAAGTCCAAGTCACTACTGGATGAGAGAGACCACTGATGATATTGTTATGAGACGAGAAGAGATTACACTAGAGGTGGTGCATGTGTCTGAGTCAGGGTTGGTATCCTCTGGATCCCTGCCAACGTATGGAGAGGGAGGGGAGAGGAGAGAAAGAGAACTAGGGAATTACAAGGCTTCAGGGTTTTGTTCGGCAGCCAAGGGACGAACGATTCCCCTCCTTTGCTTCCTAGAACCAATTCTCCATCACTGGATTATGGGACTGATGATGATTATGGATATGCAGAGAGTGCTAATTGAGTAATGAAAGCGCATAAGCGGCGACACAGATAGCTTTCTCCACCACTGGGCGACCTCAGATTCATTAGTTCGTTCCCATCTCCCGCCTGGTAGACTGAAAGATAGTGAAGAGTGCACAAGTCAAAAAATTTAGAAAGGAAAATCAGTTCTAAGAGAGAGGGATTCGAACCCACCACCTCTTGCTTCCTGGGGGAGTGCACTACCACTGTGCTATGGGACACATCAGGCAGCAGAAAAGAGCTCTTATCTAGCTATCTAGGCCAGTCATATGGGTATACATGGAAGTTAGTGCTATTCTCTCTGGACCGGTTGCTAATTGTCCTCCCTGGACCAGATGAGATGGGGACACTGGGGGGTACAACGTAAATTCTTCTCTCGTAGAATTTCACACACTATGTGATCTCCCACTTCAAGTTTATGTGTCTCTTTATCTCTCTACTACATAGGAAGCTCTTCAGCAGTTGGAGGAGTTGAGTCGAAGTTGGCCGAAAGAACCCAACATCTACATCAGCATTGGCAAGGTACATAGGGTTTGAGTACACTACTGTACGTATTGAGCGAAGTGATCCTCCCTAGTGCATGATTTTTGTGTATGTTAGACAGCGCTGTTACAGTGCCTTAACGCTTCACTTAATCGGCGTTCTAGTACATACCTACAAGAATTGCTACGAGACTGATGATAGATAGAGCAACAGAAGGCTGGAATATGCATACTGTACATACAGTATGCATGTATGTGTGTATGTGTGTATACATTTGTTGGATATCCCTAAGCAACCGACATGTATGAAGCTACATACTGTGGAGTTTTATGGGCATATACTCTCCTGCTCGATGTAAAGTGGGTTCATACATGTCGGTTGCTAGGGATATCCAACAAATATATTGCAGTGCCCAGACAGGACAGCATTCGCCCTTACAGGGCTCATGCTTTCCTGTCTGGGCACTGCAACATATACATGTATGTAAGCTGCTAACAGGACACGATATGTATACCTGTACATTGATAGCACTCTGAGATACTGTGTGCCAGTATGGAAGGACTCAAGTATGTACGTATGCATGCAGCACGTTTTAAGCCAGATATATTGATACATAGTACACGTACTCATACTACTAAATGCCAGTATATGTAGAAGGACTCTGTATGTGTGGCAGGCTGTGATATTAATGTATGTGTATAACAGTGCTACATAGCAACAGGCTTTGAATGTGTCAACTACAGTTATTGGTTTGTTTGCAGTTCCCTGTGTGCTTGATATGTTTTTGAGAATAGATACTCTCTTTCACACACTATCACTCATTGTTGTTGTAGAGCATGAATACTTTGTGTGCGTTTTTTCATCAAAGACGGTAGTGTGGGTATTGCTGTGAGGGAGTGTGTGTCCTTTACTTCTCTCCTTCCCCGGTGAGTCTGTGGCTACTCTTAAACCATCTGAGCCCAGTCGGCTATGCAATGAGTATTGATACTACCATACTGCCCCCTCCCCCCCCCCCCCTCCCCTCCCCCTCTCCCCTCCTCTCCTGGAGTAAACTGTGCCCTGACCACAGATAAATATAGATAGCCATTTGAACCAGCTATACACTAGAACTACGTATGAACAGACATTCCTTTGGCCAGAATGGGAGCCATACATCACTATTGTAGGCCCATATTAAGCACATGCATGTGTCGCTCAGTCTATAGTACATGTGCTGGGACTATTTATGTACCGGAGGAATTACATAGTAAAGGAGTGTGGGGAGGGAGTGATGAAAGATGGTGTTGTATATATATGTGCGTGTGGCTATGTGTAGTGTGGGGGTTGGGGTGTGTGTGTGTGGACCCAGTTGTGAAGGAATGTAAACGACGTCTTGTGTGGCTGAGTAGTAACCCCATTCCCCCTCCAAGTATATGACATGCACTGAATGCTCTAATGTAATTCGACCACTCATCGGGTTCTCTCGGTGTATGGTCGTAGTACATTTGACTGGGAGACGCGGCTCCTGGCGTAGTGTAATGTAGATGTATAGCAAGGAAATGAATATTATTATATACATGCTTCAGATCTTTTAATAATTTTATGTGGTTGTAGGGAGGGTTTGATAATGGTGAAAATAGAATATTTTGCAGGGATTAATTTGGCATTTAATAGGTGGAGGATACGAGTGGAGCGGGGGGTTAAGCATTAGACAAGTTATGAGAAAAGTGTGACCCCTTAAAATACATGGTTATGTACCGGATATTTTCTAGTTATATTCGTTCACTTTCCATGCAAGTACGGTGTCTTTGTATTTTAAGATGCCAAAGCTGTGCATGTTTGTGGTGTCTTCATTGGTTTTTTATTCTCCATTCGCGAGCTCAGCATGGTCCCAACATGAATATTTGCTGAGTTTATTATGGCTGCACAGGAAGACAGTTTCTAGAAGGTGCATCAGTCTGCCAGTCAATAATCATTGTGTGTGGGTGTATGAATATTCACAACACTGGCTTTCAGACAAACAACAGCAAACACGTAGAGGTGGTTCCACTTCCGGAATATTCATGCGAACATTGAATGTACTAAGTGGATGCTCAAGGCTTGCAAGGCCTCGTGGAGTGTGTTGATCCGACGCTCTGTGTCTATTTTTACCTCCTGTCCTGCTATTTTTAGGAGGCAGAGAACGCACGGCCATCAGCCGCCTTGTGTTTGTGGGTGGTGCACACAAGCATTGGACATTGCCAATTTTCCCAACTTGCCTCACCAGCTTAAACTAGCAGTGGCTATAATAGATGAAACTATGGTCTCCAGTAGTAACAAATGCCTTACTTGAGGGGATGGATGGTGCTGGACACACTGCTCTCATAAGCCCAACATAGACGTACGTATGAACATGGCAAAACATTTTGCGTGGAACAAAAATTATCACGTAACTTTAATGATGACAACACTCTAGTCTTTCGTGCAGCTTTGCTCCGTGGACCATGATAACAATTTGTTATTAAGACTTTTGTCTCGTACAACGAAGTTGCACCGGCCCTTACTCATGCAGTGAGGTTTGCCTGAGAAATGCTAGTAGCTTGCTAGTGACATGTTGCAGTGCATTTAACTTTTGCATTGGAAAAGAGAATGTTTCGAATGGTATTCACCACCTCATTCCTTTCCAACGAAACCAGCATATCATGCTATGTTGACATTCTTGAAGTCTCGACATTTAGCTCCGGTTACCCTGAGAGTAAAACAGATACGTGGAGAGGAGAGGCTCCTTCGTTCTTTACTTGAGATAGGGTAACCTCACATTCTGCTCACTTCTGAGGAGTGATGTTTCTGGTCACCTGAGCACACAGTGTCCATTCCCTCCATGCTCCGTGGACGTTGGTATGAATCACCGCATGTCGACAACACAAGGCAGGTTCATATGAACTGCATCAGCAGAGGAACACACTCTTTTCAATAGCTGCCCTGCGCGTGATTGAACCCACGACACTCTGTGCAGTCTAGGCGATCACTCGCTACCCACTGAGCTATATGCCTGTGGGATGACATGGCCACAGACATCAAGTCCCCCTCTTTCATCTCTTGTTCTCTCTCCACCTCCCTCCCCTTTCATCCCGTTTGTCCACTCCCTCCTTCCATCCCTGCTTCTTCCTTGCTGGGATGCTACTCAGCAAGTGTCTATATGTATGTCCCTAGAACATGTCTACAATTAGTAAGGTGCCATGCTACATACACAAACATAGAAAAGAAGTGTCCAGCAACAATGCACTCCAAGCAAGGCGGGTTTTATACTTGTTTAGTACTAGGCACAGGTTTGAGTGGTATGACATCCGAGTGGTAGGCATCCAGTGTGGGGATTGAATTGTAGTTGTCCCAATTGTGGATGTGGGAAGTGTTACTTGCTAATTGACAGGAAGCCAGCCAGCCAGTCAAGCAGGGGAAGAGAACCAAACTCAGAGTCCCAAGTGCCTACATACAACTTCTCTGGAGCTATTGTATATAGCTGTTATACTGGAGTATGGTTCCTGTTCTAGTGTCAGTTTCCTGACGGTGCACTATGGTCACATGACTGGAACAGTGGTCATGTGACTGCTTTACTGTGATCACATGACCAAAATGCATGAGTCTGCACTTTCGGCTTTCGGCCATGACTGATCATTTGACAAGAACTAATCTGCATACAATGATGAAAGTGCCAATAATTAGCATTCTAGTGTGGTACCTGTGTATGTACACATTCAGTGGGCCTTGAATTTACATTCCTGGTTTCCTGGCTGGATTGCCCACTCAATGCTAACCGTCAAAAGGTTTGTGAGCTGCCACAGGCACAACATGTTGCGGGGTGTAGGTGCTGATTACTTAAGTCTAACTCTCTTTCTAGTCTGTGGTTTTGTCTGTCGAGTCATTTTGCTTTGACTGTTTATAAGAAAATCTCTTGGTGTTTTACATATAGTGTGGGCATATAATATGTGCATGAGGTGCATGCTTGTGGAATAGGCGAGGGTAAACGTGAATGAGCAAATGGTTTTGAAAAAGGAAAAGACGTCTGAACTGAGAACATGAAACACAGAAACATGTTCAGATACATAGTAGTGTCGCACAGTACTGTGTAGTCTTGTACACCTCTGGACACACAAGCATCTACATACTGTGTATTATGTACATATGTGACAGGTACAGGATAGCCTCGGTAGGGAGAGAATGGAATAGTGGGGGGGTTGACAGTGGCCCACTCATGCATGAGCAGTGGCACAATACCAGAGGATATTGTCTGAGCAGCGACACAATACCAGGGGACATGTCGTTGTCTGTCTGGGACACCCTGACTAACTAACAGACACTACCGACGTGTGTGTGCACGTCTGTTCTTTGAGAGGGTCAAATTACATACTCAGTAGAGCTTGAAGGAGGCTGTGGTACAATTGGAGTGGTGTTGGAGTGTTACTGGCCCACTCATGCATGAGCAGTGACACAATACCAGAGGATATTGTCTGAGCAGCGACACAATACCAGAGGACATGTCGTTGTCTGTCTGGGACACCCTGACTAACTAACAGACACTACCGACATGCTGTGTGCACGTCTGTTCTTTGAGAGGGTCAAATTACATACTAGAGAGAGTCAGTAGAGCTTGAAGGAGGCTGTGGTATGTTGGAGTGTTACTGAGATTTAGCAAGTTTGGATGAGTAGATGCCTTCTATTGGCTTCAGGATCGTTGTTTTTTTTTATGTGTGTGTGTTGTGCGTGTGCGTGTGTGTGCTACGATGATGCTATCTGTTCTCCAGGAAATGTACAGTTCAGCACATACATTACTCGCTCTAACTCATGCTCCCGCGTATTTACTATCGGGTCACAGATGCTGTTTGCTGTTGCAACTCCCCTTGTTTTTTACTTGTACTCCTTTCGGTGTTCCTGGACTACAAACGGTAGCTTTCATCTCTACCATTGAGCTCGGCCACATTTTGTTTTCCTCTCACCTCCGTCTCACTCACTTCTCTACTCTTTCTCTCTTTCTCTCTTCAGCCCTTCCTTCTTCCCCTTCCCTTCCTCTTACCCTCACATCCTTCTCTCTCCTTCTCCCCTCATACCCCAAATTTTAAAGTGTCATTGAACTGTTCGATGTGCACTTGCCTTGTGTTTACACCTGATTCATCCTCCTCTCTCCCTCTCTCCTCTCCTTCCCTATTATACACCACTCCTCTCTTTCCTCTTTCTCTCTCACACCCCATCACTCGTCCTGTGTGCAGCTCCTCAAAAAGCTGAAGAGACCACACGAAGCAGTCCTAAACTTCTCATGGGCACTCGACTTCAGTCGCCACGGCACCAACTCCCACATCAGGGAAGAGGTGGACGAGATGTACCAGGTGAGCGAGGCCGAGGGCAGAAACGCAGAGGACGACTTTTTCGTTCATCACTCGACCTCCGAGGACCCAAGTCAGCTGGAGGAGGAAGAGGGGGGAGGAGGAGGAGGAGGTGGAGGATATGCACGAGGGGGGAGGCGGGAACTGATAAAAATAGAATCACGTGACTTAGTTTTAGCATCCTTGAATGGTATTGTCTCTCTAAGTGTGTTGAGAAAACTTTCATTTGCAGTGAAAAATAATCACATGCCTTGCATCACCGTGACTTACATTGTGTGGAGAAATTTGCTGTTAAAATCACTGACATGCTTGTATGCATAGCATGGCCCTCGGGGGTGCTGTTGAAATGTTGCTTTTCTTTGCTAGTATTGTGCTAAGTATACATCCACACGGCTATTTGGCAGCTGCTAGCAACTCCATTAGACCTAAATTTAGGCCATCCTGTCTGTGTGTCCAAATATGGAAGAAGACACAAATAGGAACAAACACAGGCCTGTATTTCGTAATAGCTGTAGCTAACAACAGTTAATGTGCTTGGAGCAAGCACAACACTGCCGTGTATAATGTACAATGTTATAACGAGGTTGAGATCATGCGTGAGCCAAGTACTTAGTAACCTGTAATTGTACAGTAGATGTATATATACACGTGTATGAACGTATGTGCAGAGATGGTGAGGTAACGGGTTAGATCAAATTACCAGAGAGAGGGATGGTGTGTGTGTGTGTTTGTTATTGTGCCTGGCACAGTGTGGGGTATTACTGTATACACTTGTTACCGACACCTCCAGGACTGCTTAACTACGTTAGCTGATATCCATGTAAGGTGACATTGAGATCATCTGTCAAGTCACTGTCTTGAGAGAAGTGTGCACCAAAGCCACAATATGACCCACCTTCCTGCCCACACACACACATTATATATGGCATGAAAAGACGCTGAACTGTTCCCCAGTATGTTTATTAGTGGCGAGACTAAATACACACAGTCTCACACATAGGCTGGGACAGAGCAGGCACCACCCTCTCATTATCCTCCCTAATGACACGGTATGCAGTTGTAGTTTTAGCATTAGGCTACATGACCTCTCTTGGCACAACTGAGTCAATCCTAATCGAATCAGTGCGTTGAAGTCAAATTACTGGCAGTCTCACTGCATCAGACAGACCTAATTACACGACAGGCATCCGGAATGTAATTTAAGGCTACTACAAGACCACTGGATTCCTAGCTGGATTCCTAAGTCGTCCTCACACTGTCCTCTTAGGCACTGGGCACCCTTACAGCTCCATACAGAGGAATCCCGACAGTGGCTCTAAGGAATTCCAAGTGTTTTCTATGCTGCCTACATAATGCATGTTGCAGTGGCCGCACAGCCACTGTGGTCAGGCTATTTAGACAATGTACTCTTCCTGTGTTTAAACAGCACATCTTCTCTGCAGTTTTTGGGGCAGTTTATCATAGCATGGTTGTTTTGATAGAGTAGCGTTCAGGAATATCAGATCAGTCATCCCTATCCTACTGGGCCTCCTCCAGTACTCACATGTGCACCCAACATCATAGTTACTAGAACAAATGCATGGCATTTTTGACAAGTAAAATGCAAGTGAGTCACAAAATGCACCTTTGAACTGCTCTGGTGATGTTAGCACATGCACATAGTGAAGTTGACTAAGTATTCTCATTTCGCTTGCCAATTATACCCATGTTCTCTTTTTGGTCGTGTGATTTTTCGACTGTGGTATGACGAATACTTATGCTTACTGTGGCAGTGTTTTGTTCTAGTACACCACACTATGTTCACACTCTATATTGTTCGAAGTTGGCAAAAGCCATTGTGCCCAGGATGTAGTAATGAATTGATTATGGTAGGACTTGTGAAACCAAGTTGCAAGTATTATGCATACATTTCTGTTGTTATGGTCAGTACTTGAAGTGAATGCAAAACTGCAGTTCCAGAACAAACCACATGACACAGTGGCTACAGTACACACACTGCCTACACAGCTCTCGAGGTCCTTGGCTCACAGTGTATACAATATGCACTGTGAGCAATGCAAGCATCAACTCTGTATGTCCATAGAGCAGCATTGTGCTGGCTTTATTTCATAATGGCCATGCACAGAGAGCTCATTGTGCCGCTGTGCATCACTACATCTCACTCCATTGTTCCTTCCTTGTAGGGTGCTACTAGCATCCTATTTACACACTCTAGTGCTCACTAATATTGAATTTTTGCCCAGCACTTCTATCTAATCAGCCGTGGAATGATTGGCATCTTGCAAATAATTCTTTTCAGATTGGAATAGAGTAAGGGAAAGAAGAGATACACAAGAGTGTGTGGATAGTGTGATCATGGTGATGAAGAAAGATAGGTATTAAAAAATCTATTTTATGTTCATTAAAAATTCAGAAAGTGGGAGGGGCATTTTATCATGTGGAGTGAAAAATATAAGAAATTTAAAAAAGGTGTGAAGTGTTCCTATACCTGGCTATGGGTTTCGTTCGTATTCGCTTCGGCTTGCTTCCAGTGCAGGAGATGTTCCGTTTGGCTTGGAAGAAACACGAGGCAGTGATGTTAGGTGTGGAATCGAGTAGGGAAGACACCAGAAAGGATACAAAAGTTGGCGACGATGAGATGCGTAGACTTGAAGGGCTATCTTGATTTGAAGAGAGTTTGAAGTGAAGGGAGGGGAACATTGAGGGACGCAACAGTAATCTCATTTACTCTCCATCGTTGGTCACTCTTTGCCGCTGATGTGTCTCTTGAGGTGGAGGGTGAGGTGGTCGGAGCGAGCAAACGTGCGGTCGCAGTGGAGGCACTTGAACGGCCGGGCACCGGTGTGCTTGCGGTAGTGTCTCGTGAGCTCGTCGGAGCGAGCAAAGCTCCACTTACACCCTTCCCACGAGCACGCGTACGGCTTTTCCCCCGTGTGCGAGCGCTGGTGTGCCTTGAGGTGGGAGCTCTTGGTGTACACCTTCTTGCAGCCTGGGTAGTCGCATTCGTGGAGTTTCTTGGCTGCATCTCCTGCCGGTCGCCTCTTCCTTTTGGTGGTTGGCGGAGCGGCAGCTGGGGGAGGGGAGGAAGGGGGTGCCACACCTCCCGTTTCCTCCGTTTGCGACAATGGCGATGAGTTGGGGCTTGCTAGAGTCTCGGAAGTGGGTGCTGCACTAGCGGTGGTGGTGGTGATGGTGGTTACAGTTGCTGCCAGTTCACAGGGAGGAGGAGAGAGTGAGACGGGCGACGATGACGACTGTGGCTCTGTGTCCATCACGACCACCTCCTGGACATGCGGCTGGGGCTCCGGGACTGCCGGCTCTGCAGCCGTGCAGCACTCCGGAGAGCTGGGGCAAGACGTCCGCGGCGAAATCGGGGGTGTCGGTGGCATGGGGGGCAGGTCGGCCGGGGTCAGTTTCAGGACCTGCGCCAGGGGAGTGATCTTGGGGTAGAAACTGAATGGGTTTCCTCCGTCCTGGACATCGGCACTGGGTGGCGGAGTGTGTTCTAGAAATGAGGACTCCACGCCGTAGATGCTGTCCAGGAGGGCTGCTGCGTCATTGAGGATCTCCGGAGGGATATCCAGTAGAGCGTTTAGCTCTGGGTGTTCCACAGTCCCCTATGGTAAACACAGGGAATACAGACATGTAAACACTGCATGCCTCACTGGAAGTGCCACGGACAACAAATCACAGTTTTGACTGTGTATAACGGCAATACAACGTCCCGAGTCTCATGCAAAAAACACGACATTCTCTTTCAATTTCACCTACCAATAGGCCACATAACAAATTTATGCTCTAATGTAGAATGTAGGTATACGCCCCCTTTTACGGCAGTTACCGTTTTCATGCATGCGTCCCGCTGAGCTGTTTACCTGCGTGGAAGACGGAGTTGCGGGGACTCCATCCTTGCAGCAGAAGAACGAATCCAGCTCGTGGAAGAAACCTGTTTCGTGGATACTCTGTATCTCGTTGAATAGACTCTGCGACGGCAGCAGAGAATTCAGCGTCAGGAGCGGCACGGCCATATTCCTGCTTCGCTCTCAAAAATACGGCGATCTTAGACTCCGCTATCTAATACTTGTGGCTTGGAGCCTGCCAAGGTTTTCAAAGTGTTTTTATAATCGTCCTCGTAATACGATACGATTGCTGTGAAAATACTCGCCGCATGGAAATGCGAGCGCGCAGTCTGAAGTGACCAATCAAATCGCGGCGATGGCCGCGTACCCTTATAAGGTGCGTTGTATTTATAGCGGCAAGATGTGTGCTATAAAAAACCACCGGCGGTATTTTCGCCTCACACATGCTTCCGATATTCACGAAGGCACAAATATCACCATGACTACGCTTATGACGCTAATTGACCGTGCGGTCTCAATTTTTGCACGGCTTGCAGGTCGTTTCCTACCCAAAGATGGACATTCGATCTAGTACGCACCGCGGCTGTTTGCTATATATATATCGTTGACAAAAGACACCGTGTCGAACGTACGGTATAATTATACAGGTTGTTTTGGTGTGCACTGTTTGGAGAAAACCCACGTGTGGGCGCAAGTATGGCGGGCAATAATTGGAGAAAATGTCCGAGATCATCGGCGAAACGGACCGTGGTGGCGAGGCTCTGTTCGATGACTCGGTGCTCAGGTCGCTTGACCTCTCGAGGTGTAAGCTCGTGGCACGGGGCCAGGGCTATCCTTACCTCAGCGACTCGCTCCGGGCACGTCCGCTGGAGCGAGGAGACTTCGCGAACGGCTACCTTTCTCTCCTCTCCCAGTTAACCCGAGTAGGCGACTACCCCAGGGAAAAGTTCGAGGCCCATTTCGACCGTATGAGGGCTCTCCCTGGCGTCTATTACACGGTGGTCGTAGAAGACGTTGACGGGGGACGACGAGTGGTGGGTACTGCAACACTCGTTATGGAGCTCAAGTTTATACGCGGTGCGGCGACCAGGGGCAGACTGGAGGAACTGGTGGTCGATTCGGAGTACAGGAACCTTCACCTGGGCTCCTACCTACTGGAGCTGGTCACTGAGCTCTGTCGAGGTCTGGGGGCCTATAAGATGACGCTGGACTGCAAGCCAGAGGTGGAGGGTTTCTACAGCAAGTATGGCTACACCAACGAGGGACAGAGATACCTGACCCAGAGATTTCATGATTGATTTTTGTTACATGTGCAAAAGAAAACAGGTTCAAAAGGCTGAAGTCTAGCCCCATTCCGACTAGAATTGGACAACTGATTCATTCAGAGTTATGTATACCCTGCAACTATTTTGCTTTGGTCCACTACTGATGCAACAGTGCCCCTGTACTGCTGAAGGTTATTCCTGCAATCAGTGTGGGTGATCGACAGTGAGCCAACTGAACTTATAACGAAAAGCACTAAAGTGCAAAACCCTCGGCGATCGCGATACCGCTAATTGTTGGATTGGGCTATTAGTACGTGTTTACTCACAGTTTCCCACTGGTAGCTCGTGGAGAGTCTGGGTCCAGTAGTAGATAGCATGCGGGAGTCGATACACACCCTCCGTTGTGACTTATTGTGCCTCCAAGTACACAGAGCAAGCAGTCGAGGTAAGCCTGGCAAATTTGCATATTGGCTTGTTCACTTGCCTTTCACGTCATAACTTTTGAACGCAAAAGTTGTATCAAAATCGCCTTTTTTAAAATGAGGCCAGTGTAGTGATCGATGAACCTGTTGGTGTCGTCGTCTCGTTGCGCGTAGTCGCAGAAAACGTGGTAACGGACAAACACACACACACGTACACACACACTCACGAAGCAACCCTCGCTGTGCATGCGCGCCGAGAGTTTTAATTGTACGAGGACTGAGGGCAGTATATACAGTGTGTAGTGTTCACACACACACATGAAGGCCTTCCCAGGGGAATGTCACTAGCCAATTAGGTGTTTCTCTAAAGTAAGAATGTTAGGTGTAAAACGTGCTAACAATAATGTAACAAACCCATTCATTACATAATTGGAAGACTCCTAGTTGCCGACAGTGGCATAAAATAAAATTAGACAAAGAGTCCATGAAAGCCCTGTTAGGAGAGGAATGAAAAGGCTGAGAGGTCAGAGTTCGTCTCGCAGGAGGGAGTATCGCGAGCCGTCAGGTCGGAGTTTTCTGAAGGTGCTCTCTGGTGGACTGCCATCATGAGCTGATCGAGAGTCTCTCTGCTGTTGTTGCTGTTCAGGGGTTCCTGGGGTCTTGGGAGAGAGAATTTTTATGAGAGAGAGGAGGGAGGGAGGGAGAGGAGATGGAAAAGGAATAGAATGTGAGACAGAGGGTGGATGGAGAGAGGGAGGGAAAAGGAATTTGTGGTGCTACCACTTGTGACTCTATCCACTGATTGATACACAAAGACAGAGGGAAGGAGAGTGTGTGGACCAAGAGAGGGAGGAAATGGAATTTTCGGTGCTAATTTGTTAACTATTGCACCATATCTGATATCCACCGATCGATTCGCCGCACAAATCACAACAGCATACGTGTTTTACTAATGCATGCTCTATGTACCTGATGTTTGCATAAGCACATTTCAAATGGCTGAGATACAGAAAAATCAAACAATTTAGAGATCGCAATATTGTTGTATTACATGTAGTGACTGGCACTGTACGGCAGTAATGTTCTACTACGTGGACGAAAAACTGAACTCCTCAAAATGTTATGCGTGCCAAAAAAGACGTTGCATTCATTCTATTGACTGTAAGCCACAATTCATATTCCTAAAAACAGTGAAAACTATAGGTTCCGGACTGCAAACATGTAACGCGAAATTCAATGAGTGCTGTACTGAAAGTGTAAAGAGTCATCATTTGGACTTACATCAGGACCATGGTGAAACTCTCTGTGCAATTTGCCAGAATGAAGGTCATCCACAAACGTCTTCATCTTACCAGGAACCCTACGGGAAGTACACAATTGCTTATCCAGGGTTACATACATCATAACGTACTGGTATTGCATATCAGTGATAAAAGGTTATGCCATCGTAGACTTATCACATATACTTTGGCTGAGAGAGACATGCGGACTAGTCTGAGGCTATTCGTGCCCCACACTTATGCACCTATAAACTACCTATACTTAAGCAAGAAAATAGAAACGAGAGGCCCCATACTTTGTCAATAAGCAACCGTCTAGTGGATGTTGGATCACCACAAATAACCTTAATCTGGCATCACCTGTCGATGGAAATGTAGTACACTACAAACGGGAAGCTGTGGAGACAGCATTATTCCATATCACACTCTTACTGCCCCATTTTTTGCCACACTTTCTCAAGTGATCTACATTTCTTCGATTTTTCACCGGTAAAAGATTTACACGTTTTGACTCTGCACTAAAGCCACACATATCTTTTATCTATAAACCCCTGCTTCCTTTCTATCACTGTCATTACATACAGTTTACACAATCACGGCAAATATCGCTGCATACACACTCATAGTTTCAGTACCTATATACATACGTACGTACGTGCACAGGACAGCGATGTACAACTCACTTGATGTCTTCGAAGTTGGGGAAGACGTACATGTGTCTGAAACTGTCGATGGCCACCAGAGGGAGGTCGTTCTTGCTCTTCCCGAGGTGGTGGAGGGGATGGGCAAACAGAATACCGTCTGCCGTCACCGCCGTTATGGACCCTGCACCAGATGTATACATACGTATGTCTCAACAACTTGGTAGCGAGGTAGAAAGGCAAGGCAAGGCAAACAAGTCAACTACATCCAGGACAGCTCTTTCTTTTCAAAGAAAAGATGAAGAGTTGCACTGGGTGGGATTCGAACCCACGACACTCTGCAGTCTAGACGAGCGCTCTACCAACTGAGCTACCAGGGCAACTCAGCTGGTAGGGGTTCGAATCTACAACACAACACAACACAACACAAAGGCACACCTCAAACCACTGTGCTATGGCACGGTATACTCTCACTCAGTATGTATGAGCAGACACGGGGTATGCAGCAAGGGAAAAGAGAGTGTAAAATGGCAGGACGCTAACCCTTGCCAAGCACCTGATAAACAAGCATGACAAGCATGTAACCACGGACAAAAATGTTGGCAGCACGTAAAACTTTGAGAAGAAAATTTGTGTAAATGTGTGCTCATCCAATTGTAGATTGCACTTTGACAGTGCGTAGATTAGGCTTTACAAATGGTGAAGATACGCTCGTCAAAAATATGCATCCCACCCACGAGAAATGTTGCAGGGAAAGCTGTTGCATATACTTAGCTTAATATTTGCCAAGTTTCCAGTCAAACTGAATGTCCCATTCCCTTCAATAAGTGTGCACCACGAAAGGATTGGCTACTGATACCACTCTGGCTGAAATACACTTGAGTAGCTCCATTTTACCTTACATGGTATCCCACTATCAGGACTATAGTGAAACTAGTGTACCATCCATCTTCAGGGAAATCTAAATCAAGTTTCTCCCATCACTATAGTGCATAATACTTACAGTGGTCATGCTGCAATGTAGCACCATGGCATGAGACCACTCCAGCCTGTAATAACCTTGTCTCCTGTGATATCCCCCTTACTTAATCTGACGAATTCTCCATGCATGTCTCAGACGTGCTCTATCTACACACGCAGTACAGTCTTGTGGCCAGCTCTGTGTTAATCTACTGCGAAATGCAACAAACTGCCCCCTCGTTAACTTGCCCACCCAAATAACAAACATTGTACAGTTGTGATAGTCAGGTAGTTCCCTCCTAGTCTAGTCTCATACCCAGCCGCTCCACCCACAATGAAAGGGAGTGTCTGGTACAACTATTGAAGCATTCCTTGGTCCTATCGGTTACGTAACACGCGTGAATTTGCACTTGTTGTCAAAAAGTGGACTTGCTTTTAACAAGGCTCTTTCCGCACCGCTTTGCTTACTTCTGCGTGTGGTTTTCAAGTCAGACTATCTTGTCTTGATTGTTATACACATCATAGATCACCTACTGTAACTGGTGTGGTACAGGCACATATGCCAGTCAGTATAGAGCGTGCTACCTTGGAATGGCCTAATGTACATCACGTCATCTATGCAAACGGACAAAAGAGTGCAGCAAAGCCCGGTGTCCATGTGCATTAACAAGACTTCAATCAAGGGGGGGGCAAGATGTTTGCATTAAAACTCCAACAAAGAGAGATTATGATCAAAACGGGACGAATGCTCTCCAACTGCTTCCCTGCATTCCTACACCATGTGCATGCAGTGAAAATGTCCTGTAGCTGGAAAAGGAGCTGTTCAGGCTGGCCAAGGACAGACAGTTCTTCGATTACATGCTTAAACACTTCTCACACAACAGAGAGCGTAAACTCGCAAACGCCAGAACACTGCTCTTACAAAATAGACTATGGACCCCTCTAATCTGGACAGCAATAGGACAGAACTATGGAACCCCTCTAATCTGGACACCACTAGGACGGAACTATGGAACCCCTCTAATCTGGACACTAATAGGACGGAACCGGTCCACGTTAGTGCTGGCACAGACCTCTGTGGTCCCGTAGCTCATCTGTCACACGGCCTTTAAACAGCTCCTTCACCTCGGGGTGGTCTGGGTGGTAGAACAGTATCAGCAGCGGTATACCCACCTCCGTCATCTCCTGCATACAGATGGGCACAGAGGAGTGATTCTACCCAACAGAGCTTGTTTGTATATACACAATGAGATTAGCGGACTTCTGCTACGCGCAGAGTATTATCCCCTGCCTGCTGAGCTACCTTTGTACAGCTCAGCAGGATGATGTGTGCTCTGCCTAGGATGGAGAGTAAAATACAAATCCCCGGCTTTCCTCTGTTGGAGACACTCGGGCTTCAAGTGCTAGTGCTCTAAAAGTTTCTCTTGCATGTGGGCTAGATAGATAACAATTAAATGGAGGGGCTTACAAGGATTGAGGAGTAAATTAGCCCTCGCCTTTCACCAGGTAAATGGCTTCATTGGAACTGCATATCCATTGCTGTGCATCCCAGTTTTGAGAATACACAAATGCTTGCAACATGAATGTCACAGGGAAAAGGCGAATACACAACACAGCTATTTATCCATGAACAAAGGGGTGCCTTGGTAGTAGCACTCTCCTCCCCGGGCAATTCTGTCATCTACAATAGCCCACCTCTCCGTTCTGGAATGTAATTTCCCTGACGAGAGGAATGCATTTGTTAGTGATCCAGGAGAAGGTGCTGTAGAGGTTGGTCATGTCTCCACGGAACACCTCGTCTTGTTGCTAGAGGTGGAGGAAACGAAGGAAATGACAAGGGTTAATAAGCCAAGCTGTTGTCCAATTCTGTTAAGTATTAATATTTTTTTTTATCGTGTACAAAAGATGGCAATTTTTACGCAGGTGTTTTACGAATTTTGTGACATTGGATGATGGTAGTGGTTACCGGTTTACCCTAAGTTGGGCATTGTGTGGGATGCTTCAAGCAAAATATTGTATGGGACATGGTCTGGATTGTGAGGTATTGTTACAGACTCACTTTATCTTCTCTGAACACAATCTGAGTCTGGGTCTGCCTGTGTTGGGAATGGAGTGAGCAGCGGAAATCACACAACTGTATATACTCGTTCCTATGACTACTGAAGAAGCTATGACACGAGCCACCCATGCAAGAATGCATGTAATTTTAAGGAATGGTTAGATGTGGCCAAACCCATACCCATTTTTGTGACACAGGCCACCCATGCAACAGGTAATTTCTAACATATGCGCAAAATTTTTAAGGAATGGTTAGATATGGCCAAACCAATACTTTTTTGTGACACAGGCCACCCATGCAATGGGTAATTTCTAACACATGCGCATAATTTTAAGGAATGGTTAGATATGGCCAAACCAATACTTTTTTTGTGACACAGGCCACCCATGCAACAGGTAAAATTCTAAGGCATGCGCATAATTTTGAACAAAGTTCAAGTGTGGTGTATGCACTGCCACTTCCGTTCCACGTTGTGATTTTGCATGGAAGGCCCGCTCGAGAACGCAAGAAAGTTCTCATAGCTCCCTGTGCCACTGGGTTTTGTCAGACTAGCATGTTAGTGCATGTGCCGGCCGGAACAGAAATGTGGCAAAGTCAAAGAGATTTCGACCAATCAGGTTCGATTATTGCCTGATTATGAAGCTAATAATTGCTACTGCGCGGGGGGCCTGTGTTGTATTCCCTCTAATCTGAGAGTCATCAGTGGATATGTGTACATGTTGTAGCAGCCATAATTATGGTCGATTAGTTCAAACATGGACACAAGGACAACAGAAGAAGAGCAAACTAATGTACATCTGTATGTAGATGGATGCTAGTGACCATCAGGACTTACTGAAGCACTGCGTAGAAAGGACAGTCGTCTCGTAGGTTGACTGCAGCCTACGGTATGAAAACAACACACGAAAATTGTTGAACCAAAAATGTCATACGTACATCATGACTGTACATGTACGATGCATTGTATGCATGCTGTGTTATGTACGCATACTGTATGTATATTATCTGTTATGTACGCATACTGTATGTACATGATCGTATCTGTACGTACATGCATACTGTATGTACATGCATGTATCTGTTATGTACGCATACTGTATGTACATGCATGTATCTGTTATGTACGCATACAGTATGTACATTCATGCATGTATCTGTTATGTGGAGCAATTTCTTTGGATAGTCTGAATCCGAACTATACTACATATTTTAAATACCTTTCTGAAGGTGTTGTATTCAACAGAGTCGTTGCCTGAGAAGAAACCAACCACAGATCTCTTGACATCCTGTGCGTACAAATAGAGCACACGGCCGAGGAGATGAACATGTAGTATAGTACCAGACAAGTGTACTGTACGAGTGTTGCTCTCAGTCACTGGGTTGGTCTAGTGAGCACCACCTTTTGCATAGCACACAGCTGAGGAGATGAACATGTAGTATAGTACCAGACAAGTGTACTGTACGAGTGTTGCTCTCAGTCACTGGGTGGGTCTAGTGAGCACCACCTTTTGCATAGCACACAGCTGAGGAGATGAACATGTAGTATAGTACCAGACAATTGTACTGTACGAGTGTTGCTCTCAGTCACTGGGTGGGTCTAGTGAGCACACCTTTTGCATAGCACACGGCGAGGAGATGAACATGTAGTATAGTACCAGACAAGTGTACTGTACGAGTGTTGCTCTCAGTCACTGGGTGGGTCTAGTGAGCACCACCTTTTGCATAGCACACAGCTGAGGAGATGAACATGTAGTATAGTACCAGACAAGTGTACTGTACGAGTGTTGCTCTCAGTCACTGGGTGGGTCTAGTGAGCACCACCTTTTGCATAGCACACGCACTGAGGAGATGAACATGTAGTATAGTACCAGACAAGTGTACTGTACGAGTGTTGCTCTCAGTCACTGGGTGGGTCTATGAGCACCACCTTTTGCATAGCACACACGGCCGAGGAGATGAACATGTAGTAGTACCAGACAAGTGTACTGTACGAGTGTTGCTCTCAGTCACTGGGTGGGTCTAATGAGCACCACCTTTTGCATAGCACACAGCTGAGGAGATGAACATGTAGTATAGTACCAGACAAGTGTACTGTACGAGTGTTGCTCTCAGTCACTGGGTGGGTCTAGTGAGCACCACCTTTTGCATAGCACACAGCTGAGGAGATGAACATGTAGTATAGTACCAGACAAGTGTACTGTACGAGTGTTGCTCTCAGTCACTGGGTGGGTCTAGTGAGCACCACCTTTTGCATAGCACACGGCCGAGGAGATGAACATGTAGTATAGTACCAGACAAGTGTACTGTACGAGTGTTGCTCTCAGTCACTGGGTGGGTCTAATGAGCACCACCTTTTGCATAGCACACGGCCTGAGGAGATGAACATGTAGTATAGTACCAGACAAGTGTACTGTACGAGTGCTGCTCTCAGTCACTGGGTGGGTCTAGTGAGCACCACCTTTTGCATAGCACACAGCCGAGGAGATGAACATGTAGTATAGTACCAGACAAGTGTACTGTACGAGTGTTGCTCTCAGTCACTGGGTGGGTCTAGTGAGCACCACCTTTTGCATAGCACACGGCTGAGGAGATGAACATGTAGTATAGTACCAGACAAGTGTACTGTACGAGTGCTGCTCTCAGTCACTGGGTGGGTCTAATGAGCACCACCTTTTGCATAGCACACGGCCGAGGAGATGAACATGTAGATATAGTACCAGACAAGTGTACTGTACGAGTGTGCTCTCAGTCATGGGTGGGTCTAGTGAGCACCACCTTTTGCATAGCACACAGCTGAGGAGATGAACATGTAGTATAGTACCAGACAAGTTACTGTACGAGTGTTGCTCTCAGTCACTGGGTGGGTCTAGTGAGCACCACCTTTTGCATAGCACACAGCTGGGAGATGAACATGTAGTATAGTACCAGACAAGGTGTACTGTACGAGTGTTGCTCTCAGTCACTGGGTGGGTTAGTGAGCACCACCTTTTGCATAGCACAGCTGAGGAGATGAACATGTAGTATAGTACCAGACAAGTGTACTGTACGAGTGTTTGCTCTCAGTCATTGGGGTGGGTCTGATGAGCACCAACCTTTTGCATAGAACCACAGCTGAGGAGATGAACATGTAGGATGTACCAGACAAGTGTACTGTACGAGTGCTGCCTCTCAGTCACTGGGTGGGTCTATGAGCACCACCTTTGCATAGCACACAGCTGAGGAGATGAACATGTAGTATAGTACCAGACAAGTGTACTGTACGAGTGCTGCCCTCTCAGTCACTGGTGGGTTGGCTAGTGAGCACACCTTTTGCATAGCACACAGCCGGAGGAGATGAACATGTTGTAGTATAGTACCAGACAAGTGTACTGTACGAGTGTTGGCTCTCAGTCATTGGTGGGTCTAATGAGCACCACTTTGGCATAGGCACACGGCTCGAGAGCATGAACATGTATAGTAGAGTGACAGACAAGTGTACTGCTGTACGAGATGCTGCTCTCAGTCATGGGTGGGTCTAATGAGCACCACCTGTTTGCAGAGCACACGGCCGAGGAGATGAACAGGTAGTATAGTACCAGACAAGTGTACTGTACGCGTGCTGCTCTCAGTCAGCTGGGTGGGTCTAGTGAGACACCACCTTGACATAGCGACACAGCCGAGAGATGAACATGGAGTTCTTAGTCCAGGCGCAAGTGTTACTGTATCGAGTGTGCTCTCAGTCACTGGGTGGGTCTAGTGAGCACCACCTTTTGCAGAGCATCACGGACCGAGGAGCATGACATGTAGTATGAGTACCAGATACAAGTGTGACTGTACGAGTGCGTGCTCTCAGTCACTGGGATGGGTCTAGTGAGCACGGCACCTGGTGTGGGTGGATGTTGCATAGCAGCCGGCCGAGGAGATTGACCATGTAGTATAGTCCCTACACGTGTACTGTACGAGTGCTGCTAGCTCAGTCACTGGGGTGGGTCTAGTGAGCACCACCTTTTAGGCCTAGCACACAGCATGGAGATGACGGCGCTAGCTGTGTGGGTAGTGATCTATTCCAGGCCAAAGGACGCAAGTGTACTGTACTAGTCTGCTCTCAGTCCACGGGTGATCGAATCAGTTGAGCACCACCTTAATGGTAGGGTTGCCAATAACAGTACCCACAGCTGAGGAGATGAACAGTATATAGGTGGACCAGACCAAGTGTCTGGCGCGTGTTGCTCTCCAGTCATTGGGTGTGTCCTAATGAGCACCACCTTTTTTGCATAGCACACGCCCGAGGAATGAACATGTAGTATAGTACAGACAAGTGTACTGTAACGAGTGTTGCTCTCAGTCCTGGGTGGGTGTCTCTACTGGAGCACCACCTTTGCCGTGCAGAGCACCAGCCGAGGAGATGAACTGGTACGTATAGTACCAGACAAGTGTAACTGTAACGAGTGGTGCTCTCAGTCACTGGGTGTGGTCTAGTGTCACCACCTTTTGCATAGCACACAGCCGAGGGGGGGGGGGGGGGGGGGCGAGGAACGAAAGGGGGGGGGGAGGGGGGCGGGGGGGAGGAGGGAGGGGGGGGGAGGGTGGTGGGAGTTGAGGGGAACTGAGAGAGAGGGAGGGAGGGGGGAAAGGGAGAGGAGTGGGGGAGGGGTGAGAGGGAGGGATGAAGAGAGGAATAAAGGAAGGGGTGAGGGTAGGGGGGGGTGGGAGGAAAGAATAAGCGAGGGAAAAGGTAGAGAGTTGAACTTTAGTATAGTACCAGACAATGCACTGTACGAGTGTTGCTCTCAGTCACTGGTGGGTCTGATGAGTAGCACCACCTTTTGCATAGCACACAGCTGAGGAGATGACATGTAGTATAGTAACCAGACAATTACTGTACTAGTGTTGCTCTCAGTCACTGGTGGGTCCTATGAGCACCACCTTTTGCATAGCACACGCCGTAGGAGATTGAACATTAGTATAGTACCAACAAGTGTACTGTACGAGTGCTGCTCTCAGTCACTGGGTGGGTCTAATGAGCACCACCTTTTGCATAGCACACGGCCGAGGAGATGAACATGTAGTATAGTACCAGACAAGTGTACTGTACGAGTGCTGCTCTCAGTCACTGGGTGGGTCTAGTGAGCACCACCTTTTGCATAGCACACAGCCGAGGAGATGAACATGTAGTATAGTACCAGACAAGTGTACTGTACGAGTGTTGCTCTCAGTCACTGGGTGGGTCTAGTGAGCACCACCTTTTGCATAGCACACGGCTGAGGAGATGAACATGTAGTATAGTACCAGACAAGTGTACTGTACGCAGTGCTGCTCTCAGCTCACTGGGTGGGTCTAGTGAGCACGCACCGTTTGCATACGCTCACACTGTGCATCAACTCTTGTATGCTAGTCTAGAGACATATTATGCAGGCAAGGTCCAGAGAAAG